GGACAGATTTCGCCAAGGCAAGCTGGGCAGTCGCCTATTGCTCCTATTCCAGATAACCCACTGTACCCTGTCTGAAAGGAAGTAACGCTAGAGTAGACTCGCGAAAAGTGTATAAGACACTTTTAAGATCAACTAAATAGCTAAGCCCAAGGGAAGTCGTTCGGGGAGGCCCTCCCTAATTCCACAAGGGTGAGAAGGAACACACACGATAACGAAACGTTGAATCATGTAGAATTCGTAGGGTAAATGCAAAGCAAATTAGGAAGAATATGCAGTAAGCTAAGCGAAGAGGTAAGCATGTTAGACTATACTACAACTACTAAACGTGTTAGTTTTACTACTACTACATACAAAAATAAAAACATCTACAATCAACAATTACTTCAAATAAAATGAACACTACTACTACATACTAAAAAAAATAAAAACATCTACAATCAACAATCACTTCAAATAAAATGAACAAAAATAAGCATGCAAAATAAAAAATTAATTTGAATAAAATGAACTTCATGAATTCTACTAGATAGAACATGCAAGGTAAAGAACTATTTTAACTACGGGGTCATCTTTGTCTTCTCCAACGTCGATCTGAAACAGATACGGTGGTAACAGATTAATAAAGAGCAATTAAAATTAATTATATCAGTATTCTTACCTTAATTAACTGTAGACCGTAATGTTCCAAAGTTTGCAGATGTGAAAAGCAAACCAACTCCAGGAGGAATACCACAGCAGAAAATTTGTTTTTTCAGTGGAATTCAAATAAATATCCAGTTGCTCTCAGTCATGGGTTGAAAATTAACTGCATAATGTTGTAAGACGAAGACGAAAACAGCCAATGAAGAATACAGTCCACGAAAAGCAACACCCATGCAGACATCCACTGTTTCAGTATGACCAAATTGATGTTTAATCCTCTCTCATTTGTTGGATAATCTGCAGAAACGGACAAAAAGTCATATTAATTACACTATTAATTAAGAAACACATTTAAAACAACTAAAAACGCACCAAAAAGCAAGTAAAATAGCTGAATTATAAAATGACAACAGCTACTTTTACGCCATTTTACATCACAACCATAGATCACGACATAGATAAACGTCAAATAACACGTCAGTTTATGATGCAGACAATAGAAAAAGGTTAGAAAGACACTCTATGGATATATCTATGATAAATGTCAATTTATTCTGTGGAAACTAAAAACTATCAAGAAATATAGATGTACAATAACCTCAATTTATCCTGTTGACAATGGATAATTGTTAACAGAAAAACAGATTAATAGAGAGCAATTAATATTAATGAAATCATGTATTCTCACCTTAATTAATTGTAGAAAGTAACGTTTTAAAGTCTACCAGCGTGATGAGCAAACCAAAATACAACTTCAGACTGTTGTTTCAGTTGCTTCCAAATTAACTTCCGATTGCCTCCTCATTGTTACAGCAAAAATTAACTGCATAATGTTGCAAGGTGAAGACGTTAAATTTATCGATTCTTCCAGTAGCATCAAAATTATCTCTAATTCCTTCAACTTTGTTGGATTATCTATAGAAACGGGCAAAAAAAAGTAATTAATCACCACTTTTAAAGAAAGTAAATCAGTAATATTTTCATCTGGCGATACAATGGTAAAGTTACAAGTTAACTTTCACATTGATAGAAAGGTCAGTTCCACAACAATTCTGCTTTCTCTATTTCTGAAAAGTTGTCTATTGAAGCAAGTTACAAATGTCTAAGAAGTCAAGTTTCTGGGACCTCGTTTACTAATTTTAATTGATACAGTTTTGATACATACCAGTTCATTGTGATAAATTCCTCCTTCAGCACATTGTCTCACAGGATAGTCCATTAAGCGCGCCTTGCTCTCTGGCGGTCTTGCATCTGCGGAAAATAATCAAAATATGGCGGACTTTCGGTATATCCATAGTAAAATGGCGACCTGGCGTCTATTTCAGGACACAACCTTTAACAAATTTGTCAATTTAAATTATGCTGTGGGCAATTGGGAAAAATAATAATACAGTATGAATCAATCAATCTAACCTTTCAGACGTAGAAAAAATTAAAACTAATTCTGCGAAAAAATTAGCTCGGTAAGTTGAATTTAACAGACGCGAGAAACACGTCCTACCACTACGAAATTTTAAGAACTTATAATGCACCGAGTCTGTCTCATGCCTGTCGCAAAATTGCGAAAGCTACTGCATGAAGCACTGATGACGTAGGCAAACGCCAATCAGAAGCAACAAATTTGATTTCTGCGACGGTTCGCGGCAAATGTTTCGTAATTTAACCAATCGCGTGGCTAGTTTCATCCCCCGTTTTACAGAATTGAATTTCTGTGTGTTTTGCTTCGTGCAAGTTCCATCGCCTGATCACAACTCTGAATATAATAATAATAATAAATACAAGAGCGAGAGAGACGGTGGAAACTTAAGAAAGAGAACGTTAGAGAAGAAGATAATGATTCATAACATAATAATTATATATGACCAGGGGCGCAACAACGTTACAATTTGACTGGGTGCTCAATAAATGACTAAAAAAAAATCATCAATGCATTGTATTGGAAAAATCGAATTCGGCTGCTCTCATCATAATACTATAAATGACTAAATGACGAGCTTGAACTATTTGCTAAAAAGGAGCCAAAATTCCTATTTTTTGTATCAAAAGTATATTGTCGTTAAAGCACATATTACCTGACGCCACCCTGATGCGTTTATATTGTATAACCGTGAAGCATACTGTAAATGGCGAAATTTTTTGTGCCCAAATTTTAAAATTAGTTTCGAAAGGTGCCAAAATTATGAATTATTTGTTACCATTTTATTACAACAATGTCAGCTTACGACGTCCTTCTGCACTTATAATAATACATTTGAATATTGCTTAAAAAGGACACGAAATTATAAATCATTTCCTTGGATTTCATAAAAATACACTGACGGGCTTATATCAGACACAAAAAAATCATGAGTTAAAACGGTACCATTGTGAACATTAGTTGCTTTAGTACCATCAAAATTATTTATTTACCAATCTGTAGAATGGACAAGAAAAACAAATTAATAACCTACACTGGCATATGCTACACTGCAAATAAATCTCATTTTAAAGTCAAAATATACGCATAATTTCTGATATAGTTTATATTAAGATTACAATGAATGTTTTATCATTGTAAGCTGGAAAGAACGTAATTAATGCTGCCATTCTGCTTTCGACATTTCGGAAATGATACATGAAACATAATTATTGATAGTAAGTTATCATAAATGCCTAAACGGTTGAGATTTTTGGGATAATTTAACGAGATTTTTACAACTATTACTTTAAATTATGGTGTTTTCACTTACTAGTTTACTGCGATAAGTCCTTCGTTGAGTAACAGCAACTGTCCCTATTTCCAGGTGATAAAATGGCAAGTGGTGATTAATTACTTTTTTTTGCCCGTTTCTATAGATAATCCAACAAAGTTGAAGGAATTAGAGTTAATTTTGATGCTACTGGAAGAATCGATAAATTTAACGTCTTCACCTTGCAACATTATGCAGTTAATTTTTGCTGTAACAATGAGGAGGCAATCGGAAGTTAATTTGGAAGCAACTGAAACAACAGTCTGAAGTTGTATTTTGGTTTGCTCATCACGCTGGTAGACTTTAAAACGTTACTTTCTACAATTAATTAAGGTGAGAATACATGATTTCATTAATATTAATTGCTCTCTATTAATCTGTTTTTCTGTTAACAATTATCCATTGTCAACAGGATAAATTGAGGTTATTGTACATCTATATTTCTTGATAGTTTTTAGTTTCCACAGAATAAATTGACATTTATCATAGATATATCCATAGAGTGTCTTTCTAACCTTTTTCTATTGTCTGCATCATAAACTGACGTGTTATTTGACGTTTATCTATGTCGTGATCTATGGTTGTGATGTAAAATGGCGTAAAAGTAGCTGTTGTCATTTTATAATTCAGCTATTTTACTTGCTTTTTGGTGCGTTTTTAGTTGTTTTAAATGTGTTTCTTAATTAATAGTGTAATTAATATGACTTTTTGTCCGTTTCTGCAGATTATCCAACAAATGAGAGAGGATTAAACATCAATTTGGTCATACTGAAACAGTGGATGTCTGCATGGGTGTTGCTTTTCGTGGACTGTATTCTTCATTGGCTGTTTTCGTCTTCGTCTTACAACATTATGCAGTTAATTTTCAACCCATGACTGAGAGCAACTGGATATTTATTTGAATTCCACTGAAAAAACAAATTTTCTGCTGTGGTATTCCTCCTGGAGTTGGTTTGCTTTTCACATCTGCAAACTTTGGAACATTACGGTCTACAGTTAATTAAGGTAAGAATACTGATATAATTAATTTTAATTGCTCTTTATTAATCTGTTACCACCGTATCTGTTTCAGATCGACGTTGGAGAAGACAAAGATGACCCCGTAGTTAAAATAGTTCTTTACCTTGCATGTTCTATCTAGTAGAATTCATGAAGTTCATTTTATTCAAATTAATTTTTTATTTTGCATGCTTATTTTTGTTCATTTTATTTGAAGTGATTGNGATGATCATTATACTTAAGTAGTTAATAGGTATAAACTACAAATACATACAAATAATATTCAAAAAATTCTCCTTCATATAATATGGTACATTTTAAAAATAATTTTATATCATATTAATAATTACTATATTATTATAATTGGTAATATTAACAGTTTTATCATTCTAATTTATTTGAATTAATTTAATTTAATTTTATATAAATATTCCTTTCGAATATTATTCTTAGTATTTATTCAGTGGTTCCATTTGCTAACACAGCTTTATTTCAGTATAACCTAAATATACACAAAGACACTCAGCTATATGCTTCTCTTTTTAAAATCTAAGAGCGCTATGAACAAGTACCCACTGTGGTACTTGTAATTGAAATACACATTTATTTCTGCGATAGACAATTATGCGATCTCAAATAATGTGCTTAGTTATTTATCCTCTTAGAAAACTCGTTAAAAAACATTACAAACAGTACATCTAAGTTTTTCAGTTATTTTTTCTTTCATTTAAGTAGTACATCGACTTTACTATAATAATTAAGTATACAAATAGCGACAAAATCAAATATTATCCAACCTTTAACCATCGATCTATGGAATATTCCAACGCCGCTACCCATCTAGAAGATAATATGCAAGTTTTAGAGTCAGTCAAACAGTCCACAATTTGATGACCCAACAACGCACTCGAACATTCAAATAGATTTTTATTGTTTGTTATTCACAGCAATATTGTTTCACGTTACTGCGGCTTTCAATCAACAGGTGACAATTTTTATGTTTATTTAAATCATCACCTGATGAAGTCTTAGTGTGAAGAAACAATATTGTAAATTATAAAAAAGTTTTTGAAATTTCAAGTGTGTTGTTTATTAGGGTGACTCTAAATTTCTTTTTTTGCTTCTTTTTCAGACAGTTTAACAGTTGCAAGTACATAAGGGAAGATCTCTGGTCCAATGAGAGCTCATAATTTTGATATTTACTGGTGACCCATTGAACTTAGTAAGATTTTTTTTATAACTTTTTACGTAGAATCAACTATCAGTATGGATTTAGTCTAGTTAATGAAGTTTATGAAAATGTTAATTTAAACTGAAAAATCTATGAACCATCAGTAAATATCAACTAAGGGGGGAACTCTGGATCTCTGGTCTTGAGAGGCCTCCAAATTTCGACGAGTCCTTTTTAATTTAATCCCATACATGACCAAAATACTTACACTACAAAGGGTGTTAGAAAATTGCCTCTCGGTGGGTAGTAAGAAGAAGGGTCCTACTTAATTGGTGCTATAACTAAGGTAACTTGCCTCCCAAACCTTTTTAACTGTGGGAGATAATTTGACCATAATTAAGCCTTACCCTTTTTTGTTGGAAGGTAATTTACGTGTACCCTCTACAACTATATCAATTTCTGTACAAACTGGCGGTCTCATTTCCGACCTCCGACGAGCTTAGCCCGCCACTGATGAGCCCTGCTTGGACCAAAGTTCTTTTAGGTTCTATTTGCAACTATTAAAACTCTTTAAAAAAATTAAAAAAAAAAATTAAATCGCCCTGGTAGGTAGGTACTTATAAAAATCATTGCTCAAGACAGTTTTTGTTCTACAAACGAAAACGAAACAGAAAGAATTTGCAAGCCATGCTGAGATATCATTTATAGTCGATGCAAAACAAAACGTCTTTTAGGATTACTATTATCCATAGTGTGATCAAAAAATTCCTAGATAAATTTTAAAGGAAACAAGAGCTTTAATAATAATAATAACAATAATACTCAAGATTGATGCGAAAATTCATTATTTTTTCATCTATACCTCTCGTAGTACAGTGGTTAGGGCATTTGAATCTTCATATCCTAAAATTATTTTCGATTATAGAGTGTCCCATTTTTCCTGAAGGCTACCTAACTTCATTTTTTTCAAATGGAATGCCCCATTTTTTATTGTATTTTTGAATTCCTCGTTAAATTTAAATATCACTTTGCTAACCGGATTGTTCATAAGAAACAACGTCCTCCTGTAACTCCTTTCTTGCTTGTTTCATCTCTTGCTTTTCCTGTTCCTTTTTTCCTTCTCCTTTTCTGTTTACTCCTGCACTTCTTCTTTTTGAAATTCCTTTGATGACAAAGGTGATCAAAAGGTTCTTTTGGCTATGATTACAATTTCTTACTATCTCCTTTAGCGTATTCTGCATCATGGATTCCTTTAGTCTGACTTCTATCTGTGGTCAGTTTAAAATATCAACAAATTGCTAACATGGAGCCCCTTCTAGAAATTGCTTCATCTTCTTGTTCCGAGAAATTTCGAAAACACCAATATTCTTGGGATGTTGTTCTTTTAATGTTTTGGAAACTCAAAATGTTTGTTGTTTCGATATCGTTATAGATCAAAATACAAGACAATATCAATACTACTTTCTTGATATCTCTATCTCACACACCATTAACTGTAATAAATTAATTTTACACATCCCTAAGAACAAAAATTTCAAAAATTCACTTACTCTTAATTAGTTCCATTTCTTGCTTTTACTCTGGACTTCTTTCTTTTGCATGTCNATAAATAAATAAATATACAAACAAATAAATGAACGAACAAATAAAATCAAATAAATTATGTGTTAATTCACGACATGCATTTGAAAATTGTATCTGAACTATTTTAATAAAATTATTGGCCTAAATGTCTCTAAAAATTCGCCACATATTTTAAACGTCATTATCTTTTAATCGTATTTTCCAAAAATTGAAGCATAAGAAAAAAAAAAGCGGATATCAATTTAGCTTAAGTTATATTATTAACAACTACTTACCTTTTTCGATCAATGTCACATTCTGTATAGAAATAAAAATGTTTTTGTGACGAATCCGAGGGGATAATTTCGAAACCGTGTTTTTTACTTCCAGAAGCTGAAGGTTGCACTCTATAACCATGTAAACAAGCCACCCCTGGAAAGAACAGACCAAGTAAAAAATGCGTTTTATTACTCGCTGACCATGATAAAGAATCGCACTGAAGATGTTAAGAATGGCCAAAAGTTTACAGTAGAGCGAAGGACATGGTATTACAATCTAGAAGTCCTTCTCTGCTCATCAGAACTTTGTCTGATGATGTACATTTCAGAGGGTCAAAAGTGCCTAGGTACCAAAATTGCATTGGGTAAAAGTCTCTTTAATAAAAGATAGAATAGGGCAAAGAGAAGGAGGAGAAATAAAAAAGGACTCTCAGTATCTGGGTTCTTGGAAACTTCAAGTTTGCTGTTACGTTTTTGGTCATTTACAAGATTTACTGTTATTACTTTTGCCCACATTAAGAAAATATAAAGTTACAGGCCAACAAAATCGAACATCGAAAAGGAAAGAAACAATACCGTACATAGTTGTTTCTGATGTAATTTGCGATGTTCGGATCTGGTCTCAGAATTTCCTTAGAACGTCAGGTTTCGAGATATTCTAACCTAAAAATCTAGCAAATGCAATATTTGGCCTTATTGAGAGAGAAAAAAAATAAAACAACCAAAAACGCAGTAATTTCCAATGTGTTCATGTCGTAGAATTGAACTTCACAATTGCTCCAGTACACCAAATTCTTAAATAACTTAACTAAAAAATTCAAATGATTGTTTGTTTGGTTTTGAGTTAGAGATGTCTTCGGGACAGACTGAAGTCCGCATGGAAAACTAATTACTATTTCTTCTGTTTCCTATTCATAATTGCACTGTGCTCAAACAAGACAACACTCATACTGAATTCGAACTTGAGATTCCAAAGTAGATACCAAAGAAGCTAAATTAGTACCATTTGGACCTTGAAGTTAAGTTGTTTCAAAATTTTGATGTGGTGGGACAATTCTAATTCGAAATTCTGAATTTGAATCCAGTTTTGGGCACAACGTCGTAAATTAATTCGGAAATGTCATTTCTGTTTTCATTTTGGTCATTCGATAATTTAAAATTATTTTGCTTTTTACTTACCAAAAGCACTTTTTGCACTTGCGTCGTGATAAAAATAAAGACAGGCATCCTTAAGAACACAGTATCGTCTGCTCCACGATTTCCATTGGCTTCCTAATTTGATAAGATATCCAAAACAATCCGGTTTTGGGATCTCGTCTGGAGCTACGGTGAGATTTCGCCTGGTTTGTTCAAGCCACGTGTCGGCCATTTGACTTTTCTCTGCTGCGGTGTAAAGAACTTCGAGCCATCGAGCTGCCGCGGCCTCAGTATCCGCAGCTATGTGCAGGGTTGGCACTCCCGGTTTTCTCAGGTCGATTTGGAATGGTTGTTGCGAGGAACTGTCGTCGGAACGAATTATTTCGTATCCCATCAGCATCATTGCACCTACTGGTTGCTTATCCTGAAACAAGAGAGTTCATATTCATTGAAATGTGGATGAGTTAACCCATTATGAGCCACAATGTTTGTATTACTTTCTTACAGTATGAAAAATTACAGTGCCTTTTATATACATTTCACATTTGCATTACAAATAAGTTTCTGCGACAAAACAAACATTCCATTAAGGGGACATTGGTTGATAATGGGTTAATGAGCGGAATCGTTGAGGTATTTTGAGTTAAGTTCTTGCGTTTTCTAGTAAGGAATAGTTGGAATAGTTCCGCATGTCGAATTAATAGAGTTTTGGACCAATGCCAATACAATTTGGCGAAGGTTGATATTGCTAGGAACGACGATCGATATTGGCGGAAATTTTGAGGGGCTCAAATCGACAGGAAGTGGCGCGGACAAAATTAGCAACAAAAAGAATTTATCAGAAACTTTGGGAAATATGTCCAATATTTCACAACCGTATAAACGAGTGAAACTTAATATACAAGAAAGTCAATACAGGTAGGACACGAAAGGAAGATATGAAAAATAGCATACAAACTTATATTTTCCTGTAGATCATTTTGACAATGAGTAAAAAATTCAGTTAAACGGTTCATTTAAGAGAACTTGGGCTTTAGGTGGGTTAATTAATTGACCTTGAGCTTACTTATATTCCTACAATGGGGGAGGCGTGTAGGGAATGTGTGAGGGTAGTTTTGTTAAAAAAAAAAAAGAAAAAATGCTTGGAAGCGATAGAAAATTAACAAGGTAATCTAAAAGTAAAATAAAAATGTATAAAAAAAGGTACTTTCGTGGGATACCTATCCTTTTGATACATCGTCACAGAGATACAACCCCTATTTCTGGTACGTACAGTACACAGTCAATATAAAAGGCTTTTAATTTAGGGAAGCTGCGCGCAACCTTGTTTGAAGAATCAATATGATATTCTGTAGGCATGAAAAAGTACATCACTATAACAACATGTTTTACGATATAAAAAATCCAACCATAAAAGACCCTTTTCTATTAAATTTCCTAGGTGGTGAGCTAGCTGTTAAACCCTGGATCTCTGAAAGAAAGCGTTTTCTGGCACAAGCTTTAATCAGAATGATCAGTAGGCAGTACTATGTCCCAAAATATTTCCTTTTCCTCCTGAAATACACTGCCTGAAGAATATTTATCTATTTTCAAGTTTTAGAGATATATTATGGTGTCCAGTATTTTGGACTTTCTTCTTAATTACTTTAATTTTACTTCATTCTTACGATTAAATTTTGGAACGATCTAATTTATGAGTAATCGCCTAATTATTTTATTAGAAAACTCTTCCAGTTTAATTAGAAAGCTATTCTCATTATCGGGTTTGCATTTGGTAGTTTAATTAGTGTCCAAATGTTGCCGTAACCGTTCTTTTGGCCCTAAGTTCTAGAGATAATATTCTTCGCCACTCGAGATGGCTCTAATTGGGTCGTTTCTTAATGTGCCGGAACCGAAACAAACAACCGGTCCTTTTGTCGTAACCTAGTTCGGTTGAAAGCGGTTTGTCTGTCTTTCTCTTAACTATCTGTGAATGTTAGTCCTGTTGATGTAATGTTTAGAATTTGCAGTTGTTCCACTTGAAGGAACACTATAGAATTTTTCGGAATGACGCAGAACAACCAACTGTTAGCATGTTACTGTTGCGAACGTTTATCATCTTATAGTAATGAAATTAAGGATTTCAAAGTAACTCTGAACGAGTTAGTTGCTTTGAACCGAGATGTTCAAGCAGTCATAATGGTTAGAAGCAGTGATTGCATGTAGTTTTCAGTAATTTCATTCGATTAAACTTTTAGTATTTTGTTTCACTGCTGATGTTGACCTAACAGGTTCATCAAACCATATTTTACTCGTTAATTATCTTTTGAAAACATTCTTTGGCACTTCCTACTGTTTCTCTTTCTTTTCAATTGACACCCCGTATATGTACACATTCTATATTAAATCTCATGGAAGTAATCTCTGCTACGGTTTTAATTTATTTTATACGTATTAATACTGTCAACGAAATAATCGTTTATAATTTACATAAATTAAAATGGCATGTGTCACTGTCATTATGCGCTTTATGACAAGCACACTTTCAGAACGGGTTAAATATTTCTAATTTAAATACGAATGCCTGGTACTTGATAATCCTTTCAAAAGTTTAGCAGTATGGTGGAAGAACTCACGGAAGAAGACCTCAACAAACTCAAAGACATATTCTTCATTTATGACAAAGACAAAGATGGGAAGCTGGATCCAAAAGAGTTTCCATTCATCATGCGATTTCTGGGAATGATTCTATCCAATGCGCAACTGACTGACATAATAGGAGCAGTTCCAAAGGATGAGAAAGGGTTAGTCGATCTTCCCTCGTTTCTTGCAATGATGGCTCCAAGGATGAAAGGGCTTCAGGAAAACGTAGAACAGCAAATTATAAATGCTTTCAAAGTTTTGGATGAGGATCATTTGGGTTTCATAACACCGGGATATTTATACGAAGTGATGACTAATTATGGAGAAAAATTGGAAAACGATGAAGCTCAATCAATGATTGATGCTGCAACTAGTCGTGGTCTTATCCTGTATGAGGTTTTGAAGCCGCCCAAGAAGGAGAAGGATAAGGAAAAGGTAAAAGAGAAGCCAAAAGTCGAGAAGAAGGCGACGCCAAGATTTAAAAAGATCTTGAAGAAAAAGATAATTAAAAAGATAGGCGACGATGGTGAAGAAGAAGAGGAGGAAATATTCGAGGAAATAGAAGAAGAAATTGAAGAGGAAGAGATTGAGGAAGAGGAAGAAGAGGAGGAGGAAGAGCAAGAGGAAGAAGAAGTAAGGGAACCGGAGGAAGTGATTCCTTACGAGCAATTCGTTATTGTTTTGAATAGAGATGAGAAAAAGAAGAAAGGCAAGGGCAAAGGCAAAGGGAAGGGAAAGAAGTGATACAGATGAGTGGTCTATTGAGATGCTTGGCCTTAATCGTGAGTGAAATTGATTCATGGTGATTCAAAAGTGATTTGGGTTTATCAAGTTACGAAATTCACGCAAGCGAGCAACAGCTATTATTTTATAAATCTGTATTTCGTTTTCAAAGAATATATTGGCTAATTTTATATGCAAATTTTTTGTAATGTATAAAACCGTCATCTGTCACGTCAGCTTCTTCTTGGAAAAGATCGCTCTCTTCCTCCGTGAGTCTCTCATCGCCCAAATACATCAAGAGGGTGGTAATCGAATGAGCGTCTATACAACCCCTTCCTAAGGCATCGAAGGAGGAAAACAATTTTATCAAATCCTCAGCTTGTTCGAAATAATAATACAGTCTGTTTCCAATGATGTAGATAAAGTCGACAATAGATACATAACCATCCTCTTCAAATTCCACAATACTCTCAACGCATGTCTGAAGGTCGTACTCGGGTGGGTAGCAGTTCAACGTTCTAATAGCTAACTCAATCTTATCGATCGGTATTGTTCCATCACTGTTTTCATCGAACTCATCTATCATTTGTTTTATTACTTCTATTTGTTCTTCAGTCAGTTTCGTCATTTCTCAATTAAAATTAAATTGTAGTAGGGATAAGGTAAATAGAAAAATTGTGTATAGGTATGTTCACAAAAACGAAAAACCATGTCAACTGTACTTAATAGTTTGACATCAACTATGACTGTGAATATGATGATCAGCAGCCTTCTTTGATATCTACACTCGCTATTGTAAAAGCCCAAACGATGATAAATCCTAAGTGTTTCCTAATAGAACCTAAGATTGTTAGTATTGAAAGATCTCATTTTTTGGAAAATATAAATCGATATGTAAATATGTTTAGGGATATCGATTTGTTGGGAGGCAATTTATGTATAATTAGGAGGGAATTCGACATACCGAAAATTTTAAACCTAATTAAAAACAGGTATTTGGGAGGGAACTAGGCATTATCCGTTGCAATAAATTGTCAATTAGATTTAAAAAAAGTGAGTAACTGCCCAACAGGGTGTGATGAAATCTGCTGCATTGGTCAAAACTTAAATTTCGCGGGTTTTCAAAAGTATAATGGCCGACAGCAACAACAATACTGCAATAATGAAAAAATTATAATGGCAGACGGCTAACAACAATGGGACAACAATTAAATAGCTACAATGGCCGACAGCGGCAACAATACTGCAATAATGTAAAAATTATAATGGCCGACGACTAACAACAATAGGACAACAATTAACTGAATGTAATGGCCGACAGCGGCAACAATACAATAGCAATGAGGGTATAGGCAAAAATGGTCGATCGTAGGAGTAAATGCAGACTAAATTTCCGGTTTTTACTACGGGACACACCCACGGCATAGTTAACTCTACCTATTATTACCAAAACGTTAACTTCAACGTCACCGAACTTTCAAGACTGACGGACTCGTCCATTTTGATGCATTATCCCAGGCATACAAATTTATTTTACAATTCTACTTACGTCTAGAATCATAGATGTGTCACATTATTATATATTGATAAGAGTTCGATAGCAATTAACATCAAGAGGACCCATACAAATTATCATTAAATAATGTTAAATTTAATAATTTTACTCCTTCCTTTTATTTAAAACATGAATCCCGCTGTACAAACCAACAGTTAGTTAATGTTTTATGGCAAATACTTTTGAGTTGAATCTTCAAAACCATTGCCAGCAATCACCACCCTGTTAGTAATGAGACACTTTGGATTTTTGTAGGACTAAATTCAATGCATTAGTGAATTAATTTTTTTGAACTAACTTTACCCGTTAGAGATAACCTCAAACTAATGCGGAAAAAGTAGTAGTAGAGTACTGGCGCGGGTTCGAATCCCGGCGATGAAGGGACAGTAGCAACAATTTTCCCTCATAAATTTGAGTTTATTTGAAGCGGGCAAAATTAATAAAAAATAATAATTTACTGATGCATTGAATCACCACCTTGTTAAAAATTGTAACAAAAAATGGAATTCCATAACCAACCAATGAGAACCCAGATACATATTTATCTAATAACCCTTACAATGTCAAACTGATCCGTCACAATCTAATTTTGGACAAATCCAACTTAATCAAAATTTTAGTGTAAATTTAACCAAAACATTTTCAAAATTATTCGTGTTTAATCTGCAATATTAAAAAATGGATTACACAGAAAAAATAACAGAAGAACAACTAGCGGAAACACACGAAGCTTTTTTGCTCTTTGATAAAGATGGTGACGGTAAAATAACTCCAAAGGAAGTGGGAGTTGTGATCCGATCGTTGGGTTACTATCCTGGTGAAGAAGAGGTTCAAATGTATGCCGATGAAATGGAAAAAGATGAAAACGGTAACATAGAGTTCGAAGAATTTGTGAGAGTTGTTGCAACTCGAGTCTTTGAATATGGCGATCGTGCAGAAGAAGTAAGAAGGGCTTTTGCAGTATTCGACAGAGAAGGCACTGGATTTGTGGATGCCGAAACACTATTCATTGCCATGACCACTTTAGGTGATAAGCTAACCGAAGAAGAAGCTAAAGCGATGATCAAGGAAGCTGACGTTTTCCAGAATAAAAGTATTCCATATGAAGATTTCGTGTACAAAATGAGTAAATATTTACGCCAATAAAACGACAAAAAAGCAAACCAAAACAAAATATCCAAACACTTAAAGTTAAATTGTCCACTCCTATAAAATAGTTAATTAAAATCTAATTGATTAAATGTTTTATTTCATCCACTTTTGGGGTTTCGTACCCGAAAGGTGCAGTGGAACATTCACGTTGTAGGAACGTCGTTTTTCTATTGATCTGTCAAAGGTTTTTAACTTCTAAACGAAATAATTCATATATAATTCTCACGAAAATCGTTGGCTAAGAAATTAAAGTCATATTTATAGTTATACAAAATAAACTTTAATTAAATGACGAACCATCAGGGGTAGATCCAGTAGCAATCACATTACTAGTAATTCTACTTATATGATACAAACTTGAGTTACTCTAGTTGAATGATATTTGTCAGAAAAGAAAGCAATTACTTTTTAGTATTTTTTATAATTTAGAAGTCATAGAGCTCCTCAAATGGGAAATTTTTTGAATTTTCTCAAACAACAAACCCCTCAAATTAATAAATTTTCACCGTTCATTTCTCCCTCGCCCTTGGAGGGTGTCATACGTGCAAAAAGAGATAAAAAAGTTTTTTAATTCCGCCTATCATGAAGCCAGTTGGGAATTTTAGAAATTTTAAAACAATATATAACTAAGACGTTCAGCAATTGCTAATAACATTAAACCTTCCTCGTTACCAAAGGAACGAATCTATCTCTATCTATCTCCATCAAGAAAGAAACAGTACTTAAACGAAACTTACCACATCAGTTTTGTAGTAGTACAGGCAGTTATCCTTTTTTAGTGTAAACCATCTTCGAACCCACTTTTTTGATGGCGCCCCACTCGCATAACCACCTAATTTCCACAAGTAGCCACAATAAAGGGGCTCTCCGCCATGAACATCTGCAGAAGACGGGCTCAAAACACCTGATGTTCGGGCCACCTGAAGAAAAAACACAAAATTACCAAAATCTTATCCGGGTGTTACAAATGATTTATCCATTTTTCTGACCAATTCATATAGATATGTATTCTTTCTAGTTATTTTTGTCCTCTTTATCAGATATATTTTTATTACCCAACCTTATTATTAGTTATTGCCTAGGTAAATACAAAATCGGAATTATGTTTTATAATTTTGAAATATTTTTTTCTTTGCCAATGAGTAAGACACAGATAATCCTCATCTTAAATCGTGCATTTTGCGTCAACTTTGTGGCTCCAGTTAGCTGTCTCCGACTTTCCCCCGCGACATCTTCCTTACCATCCGATCTCTGAAAAAGAGAAAAGCCCCGGGCGCAGATGGAATTCCCAACTGAGTCCTAAATGTTCTGCCACCACAGCATATAACCGCATCACAAACGCTATCATGCGGCTCCACCACTTCTCTCTGGTCTGGAAACCGTCATCTGTCTCCCGAAAAAAGAGAAGCCCCTCATCTACAGGCCCATCAGTCCACTCAGTTTGTTGAGCAAAGTAGTTGAATCCATCCTACTGGACCAGGTTTTTGAACATGTGGAGTGAAACAACATCCTCCTCGAACTCTAGCAGGGTTTCCATGACCACCACGGCATCGGCCATCAACGTCTCCATGTTTCCGAACACCGGTGATAACCATGAAATCAAATGGAGCATTTTCGTCGCTTACTTTGGCGTCATCTTTGACATAAAGCTCACGTGGAGGAAACATATCCAAGCCACCCGTGTCAATGTTCTGGGCGCCTTCATCTCCCTCAAGCCCTTCTTCTTCCTACGTCATTCCCATCTGGACGTGTTTACACGCTGATTATTCGTTCCGCACTCGACCACCCCTAGTTCGTTACAAACGTCTAAACTCTGAAAGGAAGTGGTCTACCTTCACTCCTCGAGACTGAAATCAGATTTACGGCAAACTTCCGGACCTTAGCGTCAGGTCACCTAACCCCGTCCATCTCGACACTTTCCGACTTCGCCCCTAAATCAAACGACAGTTTCAAAAGGTCCTGCCATCTTCTACTCTGAACTGCTTCCCTTCTGCTCTTTTACAGTTTCCATTTTTGACACAAGTTTCCCCAAATCATTTCTCTCCTACACTCAATCCCCTTCCCATTACCAATCTTTTCTACAGAACCTTCCTTGGAATGTAAAACCTCCGGATTGTTCTCCTACTCGAGGAGCGGTTTTATTCGACACCGTTGAAAGTATTCTCTCCGCGAGTAGAGGAAAATATAAAATAAATTGTAATACTTCATTGTAATGATAGTATTTTAAAAAATATAACTATCGTTATTCCATTTTCTAACTATTTGCTTTCTCTATAAATCAGTTATAGAATTACATTTTATAGAAATACGTATTCTATACGTATATACATTAGTATTAACACTAATTTATCTAGTGGTGGTGAGTTAATAATGTTGTTATAGAGCTCCTAGCTGTATTGAATCAAATTAATTTCCGTACTCCTTTGTTGAAAATTACACATGCAAAAGATAAAACACTGGCATCATGTGTTTACAGGCACAATAGGTAAACCACAATATATGAACTTATTGTTTCAAAATGATCTGCTTTTGAATAATAGGATTGTAAGCCAAATTAAGCCACTTCACGAAATGCATTCGAGTTTATTTCAACCTATGCATAGATGATGCGCCAATCAAACACTACTTTTGGGTCAATTACAACGTGCCATGTAATACAAATTGAAGAACGATCCGTTAATTTATTTGTTCGTCTATGATATCCATTTCTTCCCTTAATTATAAACGTTGTCATTGCAAAGCAACTTAGAGTTTTCCCCTTGAGGATAATGTCTACCTCCGGAAAAAGTAAAACCATTCCTGAGAATTTTAGTTTAGCGTTATTCGAAGGAATACCAGGAATTCAGGGAAAGTGACAGTGATTAAGGTAATAAGCGCACAAATGTGAAACTGGACAGGATTCGGAATGGTAACTTTCTACTGACGAGGGTAGTTAGGTAAAAGCTTGAAGTTTCAAATAACACCAATAAAAGAAAGGGTAGAATGGGTGAGGTTCGAAAAGGATTTGTAATGAATTTAAAAAGGATAGAATGAAACTGAAAGTAAAACCACTTAACCACAGTTAAATGAAAACAACAAAAAGGTGCAATCTGGAAACTACAAAAGAACACTATTGCCAAGGGTAGATAACAGTTAAGACAAAGAGTGCCGAAAATACAGATTATGTTAAATAAAATGGAAGTGCTTGTCTGTAACGTGATGTGAGTTTGGGTGTGCGTGTTGGTGTGTGTATGGGCGTGGGTTTGGGTTTGGGTTTGGGTTTGGGTTTGGGTTTGGGTTTGGGTTTGGGTTTGGGTTTGGGTTTGGGTTTGGATTTGGGTTTGGGTTTGGGTGTAGATGTGGGTGTTGTTGTGGGTGTTGGTGTGGGTTTGGGTTTGGGTTTGGGTCATAACAAAATACCCTAAATAGCTGAAACTCCNCAAAAGAACACTATTGCCAAGGGTAGATAACAGTTAAGACAAAGAGTGCCGAAAATACAGATTATGTTAAATAAAATGGAAGTGCTTGTCTGTAACGTGATGTGAGTTTGGGTGTGCGTGTTGGTGTGTGTATGGGCGTGGGTTTGGGTTTGGGTTTGGGTTTGGGTTTGGGTTTGGGTTTGGGTTTGGGTTTGGGTTTGGGTTTGGGTTTGGATTTGGGTTTGGGTTTGGGTGTAGATGTGGGTGTTGTTGTGGGTGTTGGTGTGGGTTTGGGTTTGGGTTTGGGTCATAACAAAATACCCTAAATAGCTGAAACTCCATGATACTGAGCGACCGACAATCCCTTTTATAGAAAAATCGGATATATAATATGAAATTGATTATAAAGGTTGTAGTACGAAATATATTGAACAAAATAGGCCCTCAATTCACGATAGGGTCAAAGAGCATTTAGCTCATGTCAAGTTTGGTAGAACTGCAAAATCCAATGTTGCCCATCATATTCTTACCGACAATCATCGTTGATATTGATAATCTTAATTTAGTTAAGAAAACAATTACAATGCATAATAGTTTTGACAGTAAGTTTATTTATAAAAACTGAAATCTCTTAACAGTGGCAAAGGCCCTATCCCTAATTCTTCGATGTTTAGAATAGTTTAATTTGTCTGTTATTGTTTTGTAAGGTTCACTGAACATTACAGTGTACACAACTTTACGATAATAATAATTAAAGGGTACTACCCTACTCCTTCGGCATTTCTTTCCCGATAGGTAAAATATAATTCAATCAGTCCTTTTGCCTCAAAGATTTATGCTCGGATAAAGTACAGTTAAACGACCCCATTAGATCTTTAACAGACAAGATAATTTTACTCTCCGAGCAATCGATAGTAAACCAGTCTGAGAACTGTGTCATAGATAAAGGAGATTAGAAGGGTTAAAAAGCTGAACTAATTCTACCCTTAATGACAAACGTCAGGCTCCCTGGAGTCTATGTTTGAATCAAGACGTAGACCAGAGTTATAAAAAAAAAACTGCTTGTTTTTACTTAAAACCGACGTCGTAAAATTACAGGATTGAAAAGAAGGATTTTAATATTAACAGTTTTGGTTTGTCCAAAAATAACTAATCAAATTTTGTTAAAATTACCAAAAATCCGTTCAAAGAGCTAAGACAAGTAATCTAATCTACTTCTTCAACTGTTTTTGGATCTGACTCTTTTAATCGAATGTTGAATAACTGTTTAATACTAAGACTCATAACTACGTAAAGAATAGGAAAACAATTGATGCAACACTAACCTCCAGTGTGAGGATGTCACTTCCGGCATGGGCAATTTTCACAACCTCCGAGTGACTTTTGTCCAAAACGCTGATTCCGTTGACTGCTAGGACGATGTCTCCCACTTCAAGGCCGGAACTTTCTGCAGGCGTATCCGGCTCAATTGCCGATACTACAACTGGCTTTGATCCATGAATTCGAAATCCGAACTCTCCAGATTTTCTTCTTACCACAATTGTTTTGTCAGTCTCTGAAAAAGAAAGAGACCTATAAGTGTTTACTGTTACGTAGCATCCATAATTTCCTGTTTAGGTCACTAGTACAAAGTTAGTAAAATTATTCGTTTAAAATAGAATACGAACACCTACACTGAGAGAAATGAAATAGTTGGATTTTGGATTTACTACGGTGTGTTAATTTTCCATTTAACATTTTATAGTTGAGTCCTTTCATAGCAGAAAAAGGACAAAACTAACAGCCGTTAAATGGGAAATTAACACAGCATAGTAAATCCAACTATTTCCGTTTTTTTCTCCGTTAGTAGTTAATTAGATTAATAAAAAAAATCTGTTGTCTGTAAAGTCGGTTTACTGACGATAATTGAACGTGACAACGTCATAAGAAAATACTGATGGAATGGTTTCATTTTTCAAAAGAAAATTTTAATTTTATTTGTTTGATAGATATTTTGTATGGATATAGAGAAGGAGGTAAATGGAAATGTATTTTTGTATAGCAGCTGTCCGCGCGGACGCATCGCTCACTCAAGTAGGAGAGAGACAGATGTCGAACGCTGCCGAACGCGGAGGCCGATTGTGCCTCTTTGTCGCTCGTTCCGCGCTCTCGCTTGCACTTCAAGCCTTAAATGGAACGCCTCAGAGCGAGGTAACGCCGCATGAGTCATGTTTTTTCGTGCGTGTAGCAGGCTCCATCGAATTATAAGACGTTGTCACGTCAAAAAAAGATCGATTAATCAACTACGAGAAGCAAATAGGACAGGGTGGTGATACGGGTGTCCGACTTTACACCGTAAGGTGGGGTGACTCCACAATTTTGGGTCTAGCGTCGTTCGCGAGGAAGATGTGGGACAATTATTGGAAGCTTTCGCTTTCCTTCGTATATAAGTACAAGACAAATTATAGAGAATAACAGCGATATATGACCAGAAGCAGAGAAAATTGTAAAAGAACAAGACAAACAAAAACTAGAGGAAAAACTAAATTCATCCAAATACGCAAAGGAATACAAAGAAATAAATCCAATCGATAAACAAGTATACTTGAAAGAGGAACATAAACGCAAAAATGAATTGGAGAAAAGCAAGTATTTTCTTATTTCATTATCGTATAGAAATGCATAAACGGCAAATATTTATGGTTCGTTTAACCTATAAACAGTTTGCAAGAGCATAAGATGCGACGGAAATTATGTTTAATATAAAGAAATTAACTTCGTTAATTTACAAAATATTATTTTTTAAAGGGAAGGATCATTATGGAAACTAAAGGAAAGTTACGAAAATATTATGGAAATTCTGCTTCATAGTACAAAATGTTTGAAGAGCACGTAATGGTGCTTAAAATACAATCAGTCCTATAGTCTTTATAGTTCATTATATTCGTAATAATCAAAGATACAATTGAATCAAAACCGATGAATTTAAGGGAAAAATTTTTCCCCACGTTGAATTGTACATTTTGTTGTAATTGCTGACTTGGCATTAGATTTCCAGTTAAAGTTACTGTATGTGAGGAAAGTTTCCAGTTCGTTTTCTCAAAATTAACTGAAATTACAAACTGGTTACTGGTTAGCACGAAACGAACGGAGTAAAGCGAGTGCAGGGCGAATCGACGATCCTGACGATGGACGGCCATTTCCAGCTTAAATTCAACGCTAAATCAGGTGCAATGGCAACGTTCCAATTCGATTACCTACATAGTAGCACAATGCAGTAGGGCATAAGTCAAAAAGCGCCAGTAGTGTTTCAGGGTTCAAGAACACCATCTTGAAATTCTTTAAAGTCGAACAAAGTTAAGCTAATGATGACTTTCTTTCCTGTGGTTGAATTGTTATATACAAGGTAACGAACTAATAATTTTGAAAACTTCTTTACTCCATAATGTATCTACGAGGTCTCTTCAAAAAGTATCACGAAGCCGAGAAGATGTGAACGACGAAGAACGTGCGGACGCTCGAGTCATCAACAACAGACGAAAAGATTGATGAAGTGAAGAAAATAGTATTGTCCAAAATGTCGAATCACCATTAGAGAAGTTATTAAGGACCTAAACATATCGATTGGTTCCTGCCATTCGATTATTACCAATGATTTGCGCATGAGATGGGGCGCAGCTAAATTCGTACCAAAATTGCTCAATTTCGACCAAAACCAGCATCGCATTAACATTGCTAAGGAACTGTTGGACTCTTTCCGCAACGACCTAAATTTGCTCCAGAGGGTCATAACTGGTGATGGAGCATGGGTTTATGGTTATGACGTGGAAACGAAAGTTCGATCATCCCAATGGAAGCTGCCGCACGAGCCAAGACCGAAAAAAGAGCGTCAAGTTAGGTCGAATGTGAAGGTTTTGCTTACATTTTTCTTCGATTGCAGGGGCATGGTGCATCATGAGTTCTTGCCGCAGGGTAGAACGGTCAATAGGGAATATTATGTGCAATTTGCGCGAAGCAATCCGCCACAAACGCCTGAATTTGTGGAAGAACAAAAATTAGCTTTTGCACCATGAAAACGCCTCTGCTTACACATCGTTGCTTGTGCGCAAGGTTTTGACTAAAAACAATACTCTAACAATGCCGCAGCCACCATATTCCCCAGATCTGCCCCTGTGACTTTCTCTTGTTCTCGAAACTGAAGAGGCCCATGAAAGGACAACGCTCCCTACGATTGAAAAGATAAAGACGGCATCCAAAGAGCTGAACAAGATCACAAAAAATGATTTTTTGAAGTGCTTCGAGGATTGGAGAGAACGTTGGCACAAGGGAATTTAAACATTTTTGCTAATCTGATGGATTTCAAAATATATTGAATTCATGAATGGGACATTTAAACCTTCTTTTTTTACAATTTTGTTTTTTTTTTTGATGGACCTCAATAGCATATATTTATAACCCCCTATAAATATTGTCGGTATAAAACAACCCTTACAACTTTACTTAAACAGAATTGGGTAGCAAATTTACATTTTCTATTGATCTATGTAAATGTAAGAATAATTGAGATGAAAGCAGCAGTCTGTCCACATTAGTAGAAAAAAAAGTTTAAGTATTCCGAATGCTTCCTAAAAAGAAACCGTAATAAAAGTTTCCCCGGTTCATTTAACAACCTAAATGAAAATTTAACAAAACAATCCCTGGATTATAAACAAACATCTTCGCGTTATTGTAAAATAGGGCTATAAGAAAGAAAAAGTTATAAAACTTTTCAATACTACTGTGTTACCACAGTACATAAATTAGATTTTTCAAAAAGGCGAACAGATTACTAAATTTATCCGTCCACCTACTGAATAAAAAACGAAGGTAAGTACAAAAAAACTAGGATGGTTTTATATTAAAAAAATTCTTAGGCTTAAGTTAATTTGCAATATTCCGAATGACCTTGAGTGATCTATGCATACATCTGAAAGGTTATCCGCAAATTATAGTAAATCTTTTACATTATTTAGTAAGATTAGCAAGCAAAATAAAACCAAAATTCGATTAGTTTCAGAAAAATCATTAGATATAAAACGATTAGTATACAAAGTCACACTCGTTTAAAATCAATTTTATATACCATTTGAAGAGGCAGATACCATTTTAATTGCTTGGTTCTCTTTACACCACACAACGAGCATTAGTTTTAGAAGTTCTTCTAAACTTCTACGAAGAGTTTCGTGTTCTCCAGTGGTCGATTCTGGCGCTAAAAAACAAACTACTTAACTGATGTTGAAGGCAGACATTTCTCAAACGAAACAGTTCATTATTTTTGATTATCTAATTAAGGTCTATTATCCATTTTAAAAGAAATGAACTTCTTAATGACTACAAATAGCATAGTGAACGCCATCTGTAGTAAATTGCTACATTTTGTGGGATTCAAAAATGTTGGACATGGTCCATAAGGATGTCGACTTTTCAAACCGAGCGACATGGTCTAGAGTTTTGAACCATTGCTTAGCATTTGGAGGACGCCGGTTCGATTCCGGATACGTCAGCCCTGGACTAAATTTTTCTGTGATTTCCTTGAATCAATTAGGCAAATGCTACTATTCTGTCCGTCTACATTTCGTCTGTACCATCTTTCTAACCCCAACCACCACCCACGATTCCTGAAAGGAGGCTGACGAAACCATTCCGTCACAAGCAGTAATAGTTGGTGGGGATGAAACACCCAAAACTATTTTAATATTAATTTGAAATCATTTTTTCGATTTTTTATTTACCCACTACAAACTACCTCAAATTAATGAGGGAAAAATTGTTGCTGTTGTCACACCCCCGCCGGGAATCGAACCCGGGACCTTTGGCTTTACGCACCAATGTTCTACCACTAAACTACAAGAGGTGACAACAGCAACCACGACCAACCGACCTACAAGGTTAACGATCCCTCGATTTTTATTAATTTAATTATATATATATTCAATATATGAAATCCTATGACATTGTTAGTTACTTAATAGTGAATTAATATGCAATATTGCACCACATTCTTAGTCAAATAATAGTGGTAGGTAAGTACAACCATTAGTATGATTTTAAAAAGTATTTACTCATTAGTATACCAATAAGTACATACGTCACTTTTTTTATTGGCAAGCGTGCTATCCGGGATTGGTGTTTTCAATGAAATAAAATTAGTACTTAGTAATGATCTCCTTGTGAATAAAAATAAACATGCTCAAGTTGAGTAGTAGTCAACAGAAGATTACGCATTTTTTTTAAGTTTTCGTGTGGTCTTTAAATAAATATAAATAGCACGAACACTTATCTTCAATTATGAAAGCTGCTACGTTTAACTGAACTAAAATGCTGACGATTATTATCAGTGAAGAAGTTCAGGAAAGGTTTAATATTAAAAGTCTTGATTCTTGATTTTAATTAAGTACATAATTTTGATACTGAATCGAAAATAGATATTTGTTTTTTTTTCAAAAAATATGCGTTATGGTGTGTCTCAGTTTTACATAACTATAATCGCTTCAGTTTAATTTTGCCAATAATGGATTATAAAGTCAAAATTGTAAATCTTTCACTTTATTATTTATTCCCTAAGGAGGAGAAAGATACCCTTACCTTAACAGTTTGTCTCTCTTTTGTTACTTGTCAATGCCACTATTATTTACTTATGATTCATGAAGCAATCGGTAGTATAATAATAAATGAGAGACAATAATAAATAATAAAGTAAAAGATTTACAATTTTGGCTCTATAATCCAAAACCAGCAAAACTAAACTGAAGCGACTATAGGTACGGAGACCTCTTCAGTCTCTATGTTGGTGATCACAACAGACTCTATAGGAAAAGAACAAAATGTAGGACACCAAACAAAGAAACTCAAATTCGCATTTAAAATATTAGATAGGATATTAGATACACCATAGTAGGCATTAGTGACCGGTATGCAAGGGAAAAAAAATAGGGAAAAAGCGAATGTAAAGATAAGAAACAAAAAATTAGAACAAGTGGCTGATTTTAGGTATCTAGGAATTCAGATAAGTGAAGACGGAAGGAGTAGGAGGGATATAAAGCAGAGGATAGCGCAGGGTCGACTCGCCCTCGATAAAAGGAAGTCGATTCTATGCTCGCGAACGATTAATTTAGAAATGTTAAAAGTGTATGTTTGGAGCGCGGCACTGTACGGATGCGAAACATGGACGGTGAGAGCGGTGGAAAAGAAAAGGTTAGAAGCGTTGGAAATGTGGTGTTACAGGCGAATGATGAGGATACCGTGGATAGAGAAGGTTAGAAATGAAGAGGTATTTGAAAGAATAAGAGAACAGAAGACTCTACGGAAGTCTAGTCAGGGACATATTGGAAGCAGAAAAAAGTTAGGAGGGGTAGAAGTAGATTAGAATAGTTTAGATTACTGTTCGTAGGGAAATGCAAAGATTAGCTCAGGATAATAAAGAGTGGTGGTACGTATCCAACCAGTCTTACAACTGACGACCTTCTGATGATGATGATGATTATATACACCATAGGCTCGATTGTTCTGTATCTGCTTTACCAATAGGGATAATAACGGGAGTCAAAAAACAGGATGATCGGATAAGATAGGGCTATAGCACGATCCAGGGGCTGTTTTACCTGTAGCACATGAGAGGATGTGCGACAAATTTCAAATAAAAAAGCTATCATCGAAAGCATACACTCAGTGTATGACCATAACCGAAAATTATAAACTAATTTCAGGAACATCGACTTTAATAAAAAAGCAGACTACATTAAAAAATAAAAAAGAAAGTCGGTTCAGTAGTTTGCAAGAAAATGTGTAGCATTAATTTTGAAGCATATAGTAAAAAAACGGCAGTAAACATATAAGTGTATGTATGTAAGCGAAGCATTAAATTACAATATTTTAGATAGATAGCAAACAAATTATTATGAGTCAAACAACATTACAGTTTTATAGGTGAATGTTAACTTTTATTGAACTTGTTCATAAAAACATAATTAAAACATAAACGTGGGTTTTAGGGGTTTATATAACCAAAGACATTTTTAATGTAGTTGACGTATTGTTTAATGGAACAACTTTAAAAAAGAAATTTGAAATGAATTTAAAAAAAGTATTTGCTCACAATTTACTTAAACGTTAAATACCGTTGAAAGGTATTAAGGAAATTAATTGGAATTCTGTCGGATTGTCTACGCGTGCTGATGCGATCGAAGCTGAAGAACATGGCTTTAGGACCGTTTTGAAAATTTTATACTATAAAACTAAATGTTCTAAACAAATGAAAAAAGTTAATGCCTTTCTAGGGCTTCCTTATTAATTTTTTAAACTTAAGTTAGTTATGTTTTGATAATCGTATAGACTTTTTGACTTTGATTATGTGCTTTTAAGAATTACGTTCTGATATGAATATAATTTAGTGAATTAGATTAACCATATTAAAACCCAAAGGTTTCAAATTTCATAATTTTATTGTTTTTTCTTCTCACAATTTCTATAATACTAATCTACTCATTTTTTCGTTTTTTATTATCGACTGGATTGTTCTAACCTGAATGTAACTTAGCATGCTGCACTGCAATTATTACACACATAAACAAGAACAGTCACATTTTAATGAATGAAACACGTACCTAGAACCATTTTGCCAATCAATTTCTACTTTCAATAATAACTTTCAAACACAATAAATCGAACTTCAAACTGTTTACTGTCCAACTTCATGCAAACATTGTCAACATATAGGTACATATAACTACAACTGTAAGCGAATGAATTTAAGGAAACCCTATTTATTCTTGGGATACATTCCTGAATGGTCCAAAATTAGCATAATGACGTCGGGGCGTCTAAAACACAGCCGATTCCGCGACAACCCAGTTCTCAATCAGCTGTCTCTACGATTCTTTGACTTTCCCTTCTGTTCGGCTTTAATTAAATTGTCTCCGAATGTAATATTTTTAGTCACAGACGCCTACTGTCCTACGTAAAAGGTCGAGGTGGCAGAAATTGTCACCGATTTTCCAATTTATGAAGGTTAACTACGTTTAACTGTTACCAAATAATCAAAAGAATTTATAAGTTTAGTCACCGCGGCTACACACCTCGGTTTACTGACAATTAACTCGTCAAACCGTAGTTTGATTTGATTACAATGCTTGTCCACAAAACGAGCAAATCAAATTGTTCCCTGCTACTTAACTGAATTGTATAATTATCAAGGTTTAATAAAAATACACCTGGGCCAATTTAAGAAGGCGAAGTCATTTAATAACTTTTGAGTGAAAGAAGAAAAAGATTAAAATATTATTATTTCGAGCTATAGTATCGAACAACTTCTCCTTAACCCTTGCACTTAAATTTAAAAAAACGTCAATGTACCGGGATACCCGCGGATCCTACCCCCACCCCATATGTGCACAGATGGCTTTTTTAACTTCTGTTATTGATAATAATTTCGTGTAAAAACGCCTTTGGTTAAAACTGCTTGAGTAACTCGAAAATCATTCGTGTATACCAGCTGTTTCTGGTTAATTTGCGGAGCCAAATACCCCAAAGTAAGACGGTGCCTTATAAAAACGAGTTGGAAAAATAAAGTAGCGGTTGCGCAAAATTCCCCCCACCCCCCACACAAACAGAATAATTCGCTAGGGGCCAAATGCGGTCGCATTCGGTGACGATGAAAAAATCAAAATTTTCAAAAATTTTTAAACTTTTTTTTCTTCGAAATTACATTTTGCCTGTACACTTGGGTACGGGCCAGCCTTTGGTGAAAGAATTTTTGCGCTATCTTCAATAGTTCGCCAGATATGTTCTCCNTCGGTGACGATGAAAAAATCAAAATTTTCAAAAATTTTTAAACTTTTTTTTCTTCGAAATTACATTTTGCCTGTACACTTGGGTACGGGCCAGCCTTTGGTGAAAGAATTTTTGCGCTATCTTCAATAGTTCGCCAGATATGTTCTCCTAATTATTTAATTCTCGATTTCGAAAATAACATTTTGCCACAACTTCCAACAGCAATAACTCCTAAACGGAAGCTCGTAAGTGGGCGATTTTGGTCTCAGCGTAGAGCGCAGTAGCTCTAGAAAATTTTGAAGGTACCCCTATTGCGATCGGACCACTCAGTCCGGAAATGGGGGCCATCTTGTGGCCTCAGAAAAACACTAAAAAGAACAAAAAGTAAATTCTGCGGATTGGGTCGGCTCTGACGCGGACCAGGAGTGTCACAATTTTTAACTGCTTCAGTCGAAAACTTGCCGCTTTCATTGCGCTTCGAACGAGCCCAGTTTGGTACGGATCGGACGTACATTTGCGGAGGATATGGATTTTTAATTGCGGCCATGTTTGCGAGCCCACAGCTCCTAAGACCGACGTTTTGCCAGCTGTAGCTGGAAAAACGGTAGGACTTATCGGAAAAATTCTTTCACAGACGGATGCCCCGGCTCAGTGCGCACATTATAGCATGTGTGCGGTCGAAATCCGCGCCGATCGAAAATTCAAAATTTTCAAAATTTTTAAAATTTTATTTTCTTTCGAAATTAAGTTTTTCCTGTTCGCGACGACGCGGGCCATCCATTGGTGCAAGAATTTTTGCGCTATCTCTAATAGTTTGCCAGATACGTTCTACTAAAGGTTCAATTCTCGATTTAAAAAATAACACCGGCCCAAAGCTTTCGACGAAACGAGTTTATTCAGTTTTAGCACATTTGGATTGAATTAACAATTTCATGACTAAAATAATTAACAGAGAAGGTTTCTCCTATGAAAATATTTTGACAAATGTCGGCCGCATTACACACACTAGCATAATAGAAGGCAACTTTTATTATCTTCTGTTTATGTTTCGTAATTTTAACTTAAAAAGCAGCATAATAACTGAAATGCTTGGGCAAAAGTGTAATGAATATCTTATGTGCTAATTACGTAACCAGTCGTATACCAATCGCATTTTAATAAATTTTTATTGCATAATATGAAGTAAAAAAGTTCTTCGAAATGATTATACCTGCTGCAAGTAAATTGATTTTTATTAACATAATAAGCCTCGATTACACACATTACAATCAACTTTCACGAAAACATATCGTAGTGATTAGAAAGGGTCATACATAAGTATTCCTAGACGCTCGCTTTATTCAAAAACTAAAAAGGAATTAAATTGAAAAGCGTCCGTAAATACAAAACAGCATCTTTTGAAATAAGTTTTTAATGATGATAAAAGCGAAGTATGAATAAAACACTGAACGTTATTGATTACAAAGAATTAAAATTAATCGCACAACAATTATTTCGTCGCATTGAGGTGATAAAATATGTTAAGTACCTACTAAAAATTTAGTAATGAGATTCTTCATTTGTTACCTTTGCAGTTGACTGGATATTTTTTCAAAAAGTTATTACAGTTTTGGAAAGAGGGAATTTGTTTAATTTTAATAAGGGTGTATTACTAACTACTAACTAGTAAATGGAATAATTTAGTTTTATGAATGGAATTTTATGGCATTCCAGATTTTGCCTTTTATTCATGGTTCGCCTTTAGTTGAAGAAGACTCTTGTATTTCATTTACCTACCGATAGACATTTTTAAATATTCAACCTCTTTTTTCATCATTCCATTAAGATAATAGCATATATCATCATCATAAGGTCATCAGTCCTTAGAATGTTTGGACACGCACCTTCACTCTTTCCTATCCTGAGCTAAACTTCGCATTTCCCTAAAACTAGAACAGCCCACATCCTTAACTATTCGCGAAGAGTAATCTAATCTAGGTCTATCTCTACTCCTCCTAACTCCTGTTTCTGCCTCTAATATGTCTCTGACTAGACCTTCATGCCTGAGAAGGTGTCCTACCAACCTATCTCGCCTATTTTTTATTGACTTCCATAGAGTCCTCTGTTCTCCTATTCTTTCCAATACCTCTTCATTTCTAACCTTTTCTACCCACGATATCCTCATCATCCGCCTATAACACCACATTTCGAACGCTTCTAACCTTTTCTTTTCCGCCGCTCCCACTGTCCATGTTTCGCACCCGTACAACGCCGTGCTCCAAACATACACCTTTAACAACCTTTTTCGAATTTCTAAATTAACCGTTCGCGAGCATAGAAGTGACTTCTTTTTATTAAAGGCGACACGACCCTGCGCTATCCTCTGCTTTATATCCCTACTACTCCTTCCATCCTCACTTATCTGACTTCCTAGGTATCTAAAATCAGCCACTTCTTCTAATTTTTCGTCTCCTATCTTTATACTCGCTTTTTCCCTACCTTTTCTTCCCCTGCATACCAGTATTTTAGTTATACTTCTATTTATTTTCATACAATACTGATCTGTCAGTACCGCTTCCATTTTATTTAAAGCTATCTCTAGGTCCTAGCATATATAATACTGCAAAAATACAATCATATCATTATAAGGGCGTCAGCCCTAAGACTGTTTCCTATCCTGAGCTAATCTTCGCGATTCCCTAAAACTAGAACAACCCACATCCTTAACTATTTCTGAACAGTAATTTAACCTAGGTCTATCTCTACTCCTTTTGACTCTTCTTCCTGCTTCTAATATGACTCTAACTAGTCCTTCATGCCTGAGAAAGAGTCCTACCGATTTATCTTCCTTCCATAGAGTCTTCTATTATCCTATTCTTTCTAATACCTCCTAATTTCTAACCCTCTCTATCTACGGTATCCTCGTCATTTCTCTGTAGTTTTGGGTTAGCAACAGTTTCAGTACAACCAGTAAACACAGAACAATATATGTGTTAGCTGATTATATAATTATACTCGATGCCTACGTAATTAACGCTGCCACATGATAGGGAGAATAATAGAATTACGTGACAACCTTAAATCGGGAATGGTGTTGATGTGTAAACGGAATTATTTCGTAAATGGCACAAACAATATATAAAAAGTCGTACAACAATGATAAGCAAATTGTTGATCTGTTGGAAAATTTAAAGAGAACAATCACCGTGAGATTTATTCCCACAGGCATACCTAATACTAGTTCAGAAATAATACGATACGTGTATTTAATATCGATCCCAAAAACAAATTCAATTGTTCTACGATTTACAATTCAAATGAACTGCTTGATTGGCTAAATAGTAATATCGGAATGGCATACAAATTCTAAACTTATTTGCTTTTTTAACTTCACTTGTAGAATTCCCGATATTGTTACGAACTATGTAAATAGATTGTTTTCCAGTTAATTTCCCAGAGCGCTGCCTTTGCGTACACAAGTAACCTTATACAGGGTGTAACAGAAATATGTGCCGAGTTTTGGATCTTCGCATTTCCCTAAAAGTAAAACAACCCACATCCATTACTATTAGCGAACGGTAATCTAATCTAGGTCTACCTCTACCACTCTTAATGTCACTAACTAGACCTTCATTCCTGAGAAGGTGTCAAACCTACCTATCTCGCCTACTTTTTATTGACTTCCGTAGAGTCTTCTGTTCTCCTATTCTTTCTAATACCTCTTCATTTCTAACCTTCTCTATCAACAGTATCCTCATCATTCGCCGTTTCGAACGCTTCTAATCATTTTTAAGTATATTTAACATCTTGTCCCATTTAACATTGCCAAAAGCTTTTTCTAAATCTACAAATCCTATGTACGCACTCTCTCCTTTTTCTATCGTTTTTTCTATTGTTACCCGTACAGCTAGAATAGTCTCCCGCATTCCTCTATTTCTTCTAAACCCTAATGATCTTCCCCTAATAGTTCTTCCGCCCTTTTCTCCGTCATCCTCTTACAATTCTAGTTAAGATTTTTGACGCATGGAAAGGTAAGCTAATTGTTCTAAATGTCTCGCACCTATCCGCGCCTCTCTTTTTAGGTATGGTTACTACAACGTTCCGTTTATAATCCTCTAGAACTTTGCCCGTCTCGTAAATGTGACTAACTAGCTTAAATATACGATCTCTAACCTCTTGTCCTGCATGTTTTACAATTTCCCCCTGTATCCCATCTATATCTGACGCCTTATTATTCTTTAAGTTTAATAAACAACACATAAGCAAAAAAATACACAACAAACTGATACTAGTAATAATCAATTTCAAGGAAATGGGAGAAGTGTACGCAAATCTCCGCCATTATCAAGTTCTAAATTCCAAATTTTTTTAGTAACTTTTCATTAATATGATGATGACGAGCGCCAGTTCGACAGTAACCCAGTAGACATAATTTAGTGTAAAATTCTTTGCTTTCTCTATTTACCTTTTTGTAATAATCTATTTATCGTAAGTATACTTGATAATTAAATTATTGGGCATCAATTTCAACTCAAAAAGTAGAAAGACCACATTTAGTTAGACAATTTTTGCTTTTAGAAACTTTCATCCTTTTTGTAAAACAATTTGCTCAACAATGAAATGCGCTTGATATGCTTACACGATGTTATCATAGAATCTTTATTATCGGGAACCCACTTTAGAAAATTTCACAGAACCTATTCAAATTTAACGAGAGAATAATCAACCAATAACATATATCAGGAAGTCGTAATCATTTTAAAAGAATGGATACGTTTTTTATGCACTTCTTCTTCTCATCATCGTCATAAGGTCGTCAGTCCTAAGCCTGGTTAGACACACACCTCCACTCTTTCCTATCCTGAGCTAATCTTTGCATTTCCCTAAAGCTAGAACAATCCATATCCTTAACTATTTGCGAACAGTAATCTAATCTAGGTCTACCTCTACCTCTCCTAACTCCTGTTTCTGCCTCTAATATGTCTCTGACTAGACGTTCATTCCTGAGAAGGTGTCCCACCTACCTATCTCGCCTATTTTTTATTGACTTCCCTAGAGTCCTCTGTTCTCTTACTCTTTCTAATACCTCTTCATTTCTAACCTTCTCTATCCACGTTATCCTCATCATTCGCCTGTAACACCACATTTCGAACGCTCCTAATCTTTCCTTGCCGCCGCGGTCACAGTCCATGTTTCGCATCCGTACAGCGCCGTGCTCAAAACATACACCTTTAACAATCTTCTTCGAATTTCTAAAGTAATCGTTCACGAGCGTAAAGTGATTCTTTTTATTGAAGGCGACTCGACCCTGCGCTATCCTTTACTTGATATCCCTACTACTCCTTCCATCCTGACATATCTGACTTCCTAGATACCTAAAATCAGCCACTTGTTCTAATTTTTCTACCCTGGCATACCAGTGTTTTCGTTTTACTTTTATTTATTTTCATGGAATACTGTTTTATCAATACCCCTTCCATTTTATTTAAAGCTATCTCTAACACTTCCTTGCTAGATGCTAATACTGCTATATCACCTGCAAATCTAAGCATACTAATCAGTTGCCCCTGTACATCTATCCCTACAGTTGTACTGTCTTTAAAGATATTGATCGCGTCTTCGATGTATAGATTAAAAAGTAGCGGTGACAGTGTGCATCCCAGTCTGACTCCCCTCCTAATATCTACTTCTCTACCTTGCAGCCCCATCTTTATAACTGCCTGCTGTTCTTTAGGCAAACCAAGTATCACTCTTCTATCTTTGTAACTCATCCCTACATTATTAAGTATATTTAACATTATCAAAAGCTATTTCTAAATCTACAAATCCTATGTACACCCTCTGCTTCTTCTACTAATTGATTAATAAGAGTTTATGTAATACCAATCGTAGACCTAATTTTTCCTGGGCGACTTTACCTTGACGTTTGTTACCAACTATGGTAGCACATGTGGTATTTTTTTTTCTAAAGTTGGCCGTGACTTTTTACCAGCTCTTTCCAAACGGCAATTTTAACAAAAATATTTCAAAGTCTGTTGGTTCCGGTTAATAAATGCCTGAAAATCGATGGTTCACAAATTGGTATACAAGTATACATAATTGTTAACCGTTGCCGATTTGTCGCTACGCTTCGTCGGTGGTGAGTAAAGGTTAATAAAAACAGCCAGTTCTTTTGTGTAAGTAATAAAACGAAAATCTTTGAAATACTTTTACGTGGAATAAAGAATGGCTAAATGATTCTCTTGCTAACGGTGTTATTGACTTATATTGGAATTGTTCGGTTTTTCTCATTTTCTTACCACAAGAGAGCGAGCGGAATTTGTACATATAGAGTCCGTACTTAGGCCGACGATCAAAGTTAAAAAACCGAGTGTCACTCTTACGCGTCCTAAGTACACCCCTGACAATGACGCAATGTACGAACGACATAAATAGCAAGGGCAAATACTAATTAAACAAATACTATAAGTACTGTCATTTGGAAATATATAAATTGGTAACTAAAAATCACATTTGCTAGAAAAAATTCAACATTTACTACCTTGACTCCCCTGTTCATCCCATCTAACTTTAAAAATATTACTAGTGTATTAAGATTTCTTGTCTTTGCAAATAAAATTATCATTAAAGTCACTGTAATCAGTTGTTTTTTAATGTCCAGATGGACCTTGAAAACAAAAACAAACCAAAAAAAGAATGACAACATCAAAGTAAAAATCCTAGAACTAACCAATAAACCGAATCCACCAACTTAAGAAGCAATGGTGAAAAACTTCAAGACATGTAAATCAAATATTGTTATCACATCAAGAAAACGCTAAAGAAGCAGACCAGAAAAAGATAAAGTGAAGATAAATTGTTAAACAATCAAAAGTGAAGGAATTGCATCATAACAAACAAAGCTTGGTTTTACATGGACAATTGAAGAAAGAAGGTACTACGTTCCTACTACGTTTGGAGTATTTTTCTTCCATATTTTAATATGTTTTGACATAGGAATGGGATGAAAATTGGTCACTTTAATGATAACTTTGTTTGCAGTAACAACAAATCTTACTATAGTAGCAACATTTTTCACACTTATTGATTTATTTTAAGTAATTGGAAACACTTTTTCACTCAAGATATTGTATAGGTACATAGGCATCAAACCTATTTAACTTCTGCTTCAATCCTTAAGGGATGACACTTGAGAGTTTTCTATAAAGTTAGAAGTTTGTTTACGGAACACTTTTTCCAACAACTTCTCCTATACAACGTTGGAAGTGGTTGAGAGTACATGAAATAATGTAACCTGGTCACGAATGCTATCTCTCGTAAACAATTTGTAGGTACTCCAAACTTCGACATTATCTACGCATTTATACAAAAATAACTAAATTTGAGAACACTATCTTCTAACTTGTCCATGGTTTCAAGTTTGAAATAAAACGTGTAGTTTTATTTTATGAGTTAACATGAATTTAGGTCCACTTCTTTCTGTACTTTTTTACGTATAATTCGTGTAAAAGTAATTATTAGACAGTGGCGGGTATTCAGGTAAAAGAGAAAGTTTGTACATCCAAATTATTTGTTTAAAATTGCATGCTATGACCTACTACTCAGTAAGTAGGTCAATTAGTTATTATTTCAATGATAGGAGTAATAATAATATGAAATATTATTCTGAAAATTCATTTTTGATTTTTTTACCCACTACACGCTACCTCAAATTAATGAGGGAAAAATTGTTGCTGTTGTCACACCCTCGCCGGGAATCGAACCCGGGACCTTTGGCTTTACGCACCAATGTTCTGACCACTAAACTACGAGAGGTAATAATAATAATAGGCATTCAGAAACAATTAATCATTGACGGGAGTCAGAAGTGAGTTAAGGTGGTGAAACGCATGACCATTTTAACTTACCTTGATGGTTGCCCTAATCGCCTTCTACGTTTCCCCCTAAATTATAAGACATGCTAATATTATTAACTCGTTTAAGTTTTTACCAAGGATCTCTGAATTTTTTTTTTTAAATTATTTAAACTAATTAATAATGAAATAACATAGTCTAAATAGGCCCTGCATAAATTATTTTCTAAATTAAACATTAAATTTTGTGCTCACTACATAATATAGTCTTTTGGCTTTCGAAATTATATACATATAAGGTTTTTTGGCAGAATGTTCTTAATAACTATAATAAACCCGGCTGCTTTTTTTAATTGAGTAGGTATGTTCTGGGATACGTGTTTTAGCGGATCTTGCACTTTGACCTACGTACGCAGCATCACAAGAATTAATGATGAAAAATGATTGATTAATGTCACTTTTTTCCACAGGGTTGAATGATATGCACTATGGACAACGGTAAGGAAGATGTGACATTCTATCTGACTCTATTGGTCACTAAATATAAACAATATTTAAGACTGTTTACCATCAGGGTCCCCAATACGCAAATAAACAAACAATACTCCTCAATTGATTTAAATTACCATTAAATAATAATATAATTTCAATCCCGCTGGTCAGTTTTGTATCTAGTTCCGCTTTCCGAAACAAATAAAAAAAAGACAAAAACTATAAATGATTTGACCAAGGCCTGAAACGTGAAATTCTCCTCAAATCGTTTGTCTGTTGCAGACTTTCTAGTGGTAAATACAAAGGTAGTAGGCAGGTATGTACCTATAAACTCATGTACCTAATAGAAAGATCAAAGCCAGCATTTCACATTATTATTGGAAATTCACGTTCCTTGACGGTTGCACAACAATCTTCGCAACGTTGAACATTTTTATACTACACGTACTTGACTAATTGTAAATGACTTACCGAATGAATTCGAAGTTTGACGCTTGTACATTTCGAGACAAGACTTCCTGTGGACCATTCTGTGAGTCAAGAACTGATACTTCTTCTTGAACTCTTGCTCCGACTCTGTACTCGAAAACGACTCCTTGGTCGGCGAGTCCCCCTCTGGAACGAATAACAATAATTGTCTCTAGTGATTTATTGTTAATAAATAAGAAATATTTTCGTGATTGTGATCGTGTTATCAAGTGGACTTCGTGAAGTGCTTTAAGAAACATGTTTCACCAGCATTAACACTGGTAAGTACATCCTTTTTTAACTTGTATTAATAAATTTTTAGTGCCAGTATTGATACATATTTTTAACACAATTTTGACTTACATAAGTAATAAATATAATAAAATTACAAAACGCTCTCGGCTTGGCCACGTCTAAACTTTGTATTTTCTTTTGTTTGAAGGAAAAGTCCATTTACTTATTATAGATTTTGAAACTTCATGGTTCTGATGAAAGCTATTACTAAAAGTGAGTTTCGTTTGTAGTTTTTGGAAGATTTTGTCAAAATTGTTTTCTTTACAAACAAAGTTGCACCACAAAAATAATGGATTGCAAAAATTAATTTTGGAATTTCGCCAATTGCTACATTTCTTGAAACCGCTTATATATTCCGAAATTTCTAGAAATTGCATTTTACTAACTCTATAAGATTGTAGTAATCGATTGAAAAAGTCGATTCTTAACTAAAATATTTCATAAAATAATTTTTTAAATAGTGTTCTTATGTCACAGTCACAATATTAAATATTTTTTAGAAAGATACAGGGTAGAAATTTATATTTTTAAAAATTATAATTAAGCAAAAATCGAAGGTTCTGGTAATTCAGTTTGGATTTGACAATCAGGCGTACCTACATCCTTAAAGAAATTCGTGTTATTAATTAAATAATAGAGAAAAGCTTTCATTGTTTCTTTCTCTAAAATGGAAAGTATTTCGTATCTACAAAAACTGCTTCCGCAAACCATAGCAATCGATGTGTTACAGATACATTACAGTGCATCTCAATGATAATTAATTTAATTAACCAGTACCTACTGCGATGATATCAATACATGAATTCTAAAAGTACCTACATACCGATATGTTTGTCCCGATTGTACTTTATTTATTGTAACTTAGAAATCGTAATTGACTACCAGACGAAAAAGGAAGAACTTTTTTCTTAAGAAATTGATAATGAAAGTCTAAATGCACATAAAAAAGGAAATGGATGGAGATCGTAGAAAGAGTATCGACATCAAGATTAAAAAAGAAGTTGTGCAATGCGGTTTAATGCTTCAATTGTTTGATTTGCAGCACGGAATAGACCGAGAAGACTTTACCACATTCTTCGCCAAAGGCACGTTCCATTAGCACACTAAATTCAATTTCGATATTTGCAATTTTTTTCGGTTCGTTCTTTCAAACAGTCTGATATTGATCTGAGAGAAAATCAAAGGTTAAGGCATTGTGAAACAAAATTACCGATTTTTATATAACGAATTAAAAAATTTCACGAAATTAATGTCTAATTATGTAATTATAACCATCGATTGCAATAGCGGTTTGTCCATTAGAACTCTAACTTTTTGGTATTCCATTTCCACCAATTTCTAATACTGGTGGGCGGGCGGTTCTTCCGCGATTTACCGGAGAGTGGGACGGAAGACCATCTTCAGCATCCTTTTAGGAATGGATAGGATGAGAAATATGAGACGGAAGAGAGTGATAGATCATCACCTGTTGAATATTACTACCCTAGAATTTACTTAAGTGATGCAAGGAAACCACATAAACACTTGGACCGGGGTAGACGGACCCGGAATCGAACCCAATACCTCCCGAATGCGAAGCAATGGTCTAAACCTCTAGACCATGCCGTTCGGCCTAGAAGGGCTGCATAAACCTTAATAATAAAATGCCCAAGAGGCCTTCAGGCAATTAAAAACGCTTCAAAGCAACCTGCCGACAGGGCGTATGCATAACAATGTGAAAATATTTACACATTGCACAAGAGAACAGAAGCGGTAGCATTGGATTCCTTGAAAAAAATTCTGTATAATTCGCAAATTTCAGTTCTCAAGTTTTATTACTTAAGATGAGACCCTACTCTAAAGACTGTCAACAAACAACTGCAGGAATTTCATTCAGTCCTGCTACAAGGACAGATATAAATATCGGGAGGTTCGTCTAGCAGGCGACCGAGCGGCATGGCCTAGAGGTCTAGACCATTGCTTAGCATTCGGGAGGACGCCGGTTCGATTCCGGGTCCGTCTGCCTTGGTCCAAGTTCTTCTGTGGCTTCCTTGGATCACTTAGGCAAATGCTGAGGCAGTAATATTCCACAGATAATCTTTCATTCTCTTCTGTCTTCATTTCGTCCGTCTCATCTTTCTCACCCGAACCACCACCCACCCATTCCCACGATTCCTGAAAGCAGGCTGAAGAGGGCCTTCCGCCCTACCTTCCGGCATAGTCTGGAGGGACTGCCCGCCCACCAGCATTACTGGCTGGTGGGAATGAAACACCCAAAAGTCTAGCAGGACAGTCGGACTAGTCAGCTATCCTGCTAGAAGATTCTTCCGACAGAACAAAGGGGTGGATTTTCTGTCATTAAGAAGTGTCATATGGGTGAATGCTGGATGGCGTCATCACACATTGTTTATTGTTTAAAATAAATTTCATTTTCAGTTTTCAACAGAATCATGGATTACTTCTTAGAAATTACTTTCAGTTGAATATAAGGAATTAACTATTTGGTTTATTTTGCATTTGATTTTACAGCATTTTATCGTTTACATTAGAAATTTCATTATTTCCTTGAGAAAAGTCTAAATCTTGTCCAAAGTCCAAATCGATTGACTAATCTTACACCAGGTAACAAAAAATGTTACAACGAGAGGAAGAGTTGAAATGAGTTGTTGAAGAAGCTAGAATAAAGTGGCGAAACGTTCAAAGAAATTTCGATTGTTTTTTTCGGTTACTGTTTTGGTCTAATTCCTTACGATTTATACCAATATTAAAAAGAAAAAAGATTTACACATCGGCTGGGAAGGGTATCTATATGGAAAATCTACTTCAGTAATACCTCCCCCGTAGACTAAGACGAAGAAGTTTACATTCCTAAACAGTAAATACCTACTAAACATAAGTAAATGCTACTTCGACACCTCTCAGACAGTAGGAGCAATTCGTGTAAATGCCTAAAACATTCTTTCATAGTTTTTTCTTCGGTCTAGCAAAGCTCGTCATAAATTTTAGGGAATTAACCACCTCGCTGGAGGTAGTACCCACTGATTTCCTTTAATTATATTGTCTGTTGGTACCTATGTTATTTTAAGAATGAAATAAATCATTGTGGATTAAATTTTTGAATTCATTTTTAAATCTTAAGTTAGTGGTAGAGAAATAGTGCATAACCTGGGTTCGATTCCCGGTGAGAGCATGACAGCAGTAATAATTTTTCTTCATTAATTTGAGGTTATCTATAGTGGTAAAAATTAATTAATATATTAAAAGTCCTACAAAAATTTCTTCTAAAATTCACAAATCATTGTACCATGTAAACATGATTATTGTAACGTCCAAAGTACCTACTGCCTAAACTACCCCATTTTTGCTAATTTCTTTATTATTTTCAGGGAATCCACTTTTAACCCCAACTATCATGGCCTTAGGATTTCGATATAAAAGAGAAAACCGTTACCAAAGTTAGCAACTAAACAAATACGTCTACCTTAAACATGTTGTACATAATAGTCATCTTAAATTTTCTAACTTTAATTCAGGTACGTTTTTAGCAACCATAATTATATTTTTGAAAATCAAATCTAAGGTGTTTTCTTATCGTAGTGCCAAATGAACCTAGTGACAATCACACCCAATCATCCCGATCCCCTGTTCAATGGATCGCCAGCTCCTCCCGCAATTGCTGCGAGGATAGTTGGTGGAGAAGAAGCGCGACCTAATTCTCTACCCTATCAGGTAAGTTGCGTTGGTCTTTCACAAAACAGTATGATATAAATGTAAAACAAAAATATTCGTATGCAAGGGAAGAACAACCAGGGAAAAAGTAGATATAAAGATAGGAGACGAAATATTAGAAGTCGCTGATTTTCGGTAACTAGAATGTCAGATAAATAAGGAGAGAAGGGGCAGGAGTAGGGATATAAAACAAACAATAGCACAGGGTTAAGCTGCTTTTAACAAAAAGAATCACTTCTATGCATGGGAACGGTTAATTCAAAAATTCAAAAGAGATTGTTAAAACCGTATAGAAACATACCAAATGTGGTGTTACCGTGGATAGAAGAGGTTAGAAATGAGAAGGTGTAGGGCGCTATGGAAGTCAATAATAAATAGACGAGATAAGTTTGTAGGACTCAGGATAGAAAAGAGTGGAGGTGCGTGTCCAACCAGTTTCAGAACTGACGACACTTGGATGAAGACGATGATTTGAAGTATCTAGTTAATATGCATTATAAAACTGACGCGTTTTTGGATTTCATGTCAAAAGAGAAAATATAGTATATAGTATCCATTTAATTCCTAGGTGAATCCTTTTTATTAAGCCTGGGGTTAATTCAGTAAAGTGCATTCAAATTATTACCCCACTGAATCGTTATCAGATCAGAATAATTAACCTTGTGAATACCCCACAACTCTAACGAAAACTTGTTTTTTTTTTTTTAAATAAATAAGTAACTTTGGACCCCTTTGTGGCTTTGATTTCAAACCATATAGAAGAAATAAGGAATGAGTGGTTAGAAGAATAAAAATTTTAGAAATAACTCTATTATATGTCTCTCTGCTATTTCAAAGTATGAAATTTTGAAATACTAGGAGATTGGTTTTAAGGCTTTTATTAAGGCTAAAAACAATTTGAAAATGTAGGCAAATTTTTACTGGTCGGATGATAAGATTGATGTTGTTGAGGATTTTTTTGTTTCGGGACATTTTAGTTTAGTGAAGACTTGTTATTTATACGGATGATGTAATTATAGGTATATTATTATCAAATATTGGGATCTAACCTTAAATTAAAATCGTCTTAAGTATACTGCATTAAATCGAGTTTGGTTATTGATTATATTGAATTAGGTCAAAGTCGACAAACGGCAAAAAGCTATCGTGCCCGCATTGGTCAGCATCATTTTTATTTATTATTCAATAAGATTTAGATAATTCTCCTGCAATAATAGAATTACATTTTGGATTATTTGTTTTATTAAATAAAGTACATAAGTACTTTCTCTTAACAGCAGATTGACTGTTACGCAAACAACCGAAAAAAAAAATTATTTTCTTCTCATTGTCATTGCCTTATTATTTCCTTCCTATTTTTTGTTACGCTCTCAACAAGACAGATTACGACTAGAATCATAAAAGTCACTTGGGAACATTTAAATTGCGACCACGTATATAAAAACGAGACAAACGGTTCAAGAAATCGTTTTCCTATAGATAACAATTTGGTACAAAAGCTCAAATTTACTTTGTACCAATTCGCTATACGTAAGTAGCTAAAAGTCCAAGCAAAATCGACAAGAGTTGTTCAATAACATACATGGTGTTGAATGTTGAGGTGTAATCTACAAAGTGGTCCATACTATAGCGACGAAAAAATGTACTTATTTAATTAATTTTTATCGTAAACATTATGTGATCGATAACCAGCACTTCTTACATTCTCCATCGATGTATCTGTAGAGTTTTTATAGTGCGTACGGTATTTCGTGCACACCTACAGTGGCAGTTCACGCACAGGACCGGCTTAACCACGCTGGTGAATCATATTGTGGTGAAAACGGCTGTATTCCGAACGTCTTCAAAGCTACATAACTAAAAACTTTAAACTTTTGGGTGTTTCATTCCCACCAGCCAGTAATGCTGGTGGGCGGGCAGTCCCTCCGGACTACGCCGGAAAGTAGGGAGGAAGGCCCTCTTCAGCCTGCTTTCAGGAATCGTGGGAATGGGTGGGTGGTGTCTCGGGCAAGAAAGATGAGACCGACGAAATGAAGACAGAAGAGAATGAAAGATTATCTGTGGAATATTACTGCCTCAGCATTTGCCTAAGTGATCCAAGGAAACCACAGAAAAACTTGGACAAAGCCAGACGGACCCGGAATCGAACCGGCGTCCTCCCGAATGCTAAGCAATGGTCTAGACCTCTAAGCCATGCCGCTCGGTATGAATAACTAACAACTGAGCAAGTCCTTTAGTTTGCTTAAGAACTACTACAGAGTAGCACAGTGACAAGCTGTATAATTTTGTAAAACGAATTCCGTCGCTATTGTAATGAGCAATGCGTTTTCGTGGTTAACGTAAGATGGAAATAAGGCACTTCAATTACCTCTAAGTAAATCAACCCGAATCGCTACTGGTCTCCTTATGTCGTTGAAATGTTCTTAGTCTACACGCAATCTCCGAATAATGTTACTACAATATCCCATTTTGTTAGATCACAATTCGTTAATCGTAAATTGAGAAAAAGTGGAGAAAAACGAAGGAGCAGCGATTACTTAGCATAAATTATAAGATAAACGTGACCATCTATAACAGCCAGTCTTGTATGTAAAAATATACGAAAAACAAATGGAAGATAACAACAAGAAATGATGATTTGAAGCAGTAAAGACGTTCTTTAAAATATCTGTAGAACCACACATGTACGAAAAGAGAAAACTTATCTGTTTTTCCCCTCCTGTAGAAAATCGTTTGTTATATATTTTACACAAATTGACTTTTATTTTCAGGCCGCACTTGTAATAAATACAAAAAATGGAGTATTCTTTTGTGGGGGTTCCCTAATATCTACCATGCATGTTCTTACTGCTGCTCATTGTGTCGATGGGTGAGTCTTGAAATTAATTTATTGTTGTGCAACAAGTTTTGTAAAGAAAATAAAAGAGTTTCTCAAATTTTACTGGGTTTCTCGATACCCAGCGTGGCTAACGATATGTCAGAAATAAATTGTGTTTTTTATAGCTCTAAAAGGCCTTTTTGTTTTTGGGAGCGGCTCCTAATCTTTTCCATACCTTTCAGATATATTGTTCAAAGTATTTTATACAAATACTGAAAATGTACTTTATTAAATTCACCCTATTACATTACATATTTTGAAAATTGAATGTTTCTTCGATCACGTGTCTTCAAATTCATATAATTCTTACTATGGTACACGTGTTTATTAAATTATCGAATATTTGTCATCCATTATCTCCTATTCTGTACCATGTGGTAATTTGAAACTCTAAAGGTGGGTATACACTTGATCACGAATACGTTCGAGATAAGGTAAGACAGTACCATAGATATAGAGATTGGACTGTCCATTCTCTATCCACTAGGTATAAAGTAAATATAGACGGAAACGTATGAGAGAGACAAAACGATTGTGCGGCCAGTAGTTGTTTTCTTTTTTCAAGAATTTTGATTGGTCTACGTCACAGTCTTACAGGAGCGGAAGAATGAGGTAAAGAAGAAAGGAAAGGGGCAGATATTGGCTGCATGATCGTTTCCTCTCTTTCTAGAAAGTGGTAAATTTCATGAAGGTAATGCTCAGTCCATTCTCTACTTCTGTGGACGGAACGAATACGTCTAACAAAACGGAACAGGATGTAAAGAACCTTACCTGTAATTTGCTTTGGTTGTTTATCTAAGTTTGCCTAAACTAATTTTTAATTAGTATGAAAAACCGCATTCAAATAAGATTTTGCGAATAATCAAGTGGACTGCATTCATTTCCTAAAATACATTTAGAAAGCAATTTTCAACGGAGTAAATTCATTAAGCGAGTACTTGTCAGGACTGTTAGTTTACTTAATTTATATTTAATTACGACAATTTTTGTTATACTTTTACCGTCACGCGCATAAAATTAGAATTATCCTTTAGTTCTGTTGAATTTTTAAAAGTGTAAATTGATTAAGCTTTTTGTTAATTTAAAAGGAGTCGCTTCCTTAATGTTGCATTTTAAGATAGAAATTTTATCGTACATTAACATAAACAGGCAATTTACTGCCTATATCTATATAAAATTATGAGTTCGATAACTGCGGCATTTGTTTGCGGTAATAAATTCTAGTTCAAGGAAAAATTACGGTCATGTTACGTAATTCTCTAAAACAAAACTCCGGTTGTAAATAAAATTAAAATATAGTAGGTACGGTAGAATAAATTGAAACGAATAAAGAAAAACGACTTGGAAATGAAAAATAAATGACTGTGTTCCTATCAGTTTTCGTTTTATTGCATTCTTAAATTTGTTATTGCAGTGCTGAAAAGGTCGAAGTGATTCTTGGGGCCCATAACATTAGAGAGCTCGAGCCAACACAGAGACGTTACATAACCTCGAAATTTATTATTCATCCTGAATGGGACTCGTACTATCTAACAAACGACATTGCTCTGGTTGTCTTGCCAGAACATGTGCCTTTATCCAGTAAGTACCTAAGTTAATAATAGTTGCCGCCTTTTCAAGTGACTATTTCTTTCAAATGGACACCTCTATCCATTTGTAAATATGCATAATAGAATCTCCTTAGAATTGGTTTGCCTAAATAAGCTAACCAGTGTAAAGTAAAATTATAAAATCTAATTAATTAGAGGAAGGGGTAGTAGAGTTATAAAGCAGAGGATAGCGTAGGGTAGAGTCGCCTTCGATAAATAGAAGTCACTTATATGCTCGCGAACGATTAATTTACAGATTCGAAAAAGATTGTTGAAGGTGTATGTTTGAAGCGCGGCGCTGTACGGGTGCGAAACATGGACGGTGGACGCGACGGATAAGTAAAGGTTAGAAGCGTTCAAAATGTATTGTTACCGGCGAATGATGAGGATACCGTGGATAGAGAAGGTTAGAAATGAATTAGAAAGAACAGGAGAACACAAGATTCAATGAAAGTCAATAAAAAATAGGCGAGATAGGTTGGTAGGACACCTTCTCAATATGAAGGTCTAATCAGAGATATATTGGAGGCATAAACAAGAGTTAAGAGGAGTAAAAGTAGACCTAGATTAGATTACTGTTCGCAAATAGTTAAAATGCAAAGATTATCTCAGAATAGGAGAGTGGAAGTGCGGGTCCAACCAGTCTGAGGACTGACGACCTTATGATGATGATGATGAACGAATGAGAGCTATAAACAAGATCCACATAAACTTTTTAAGGACCAGGGTTCGACTTTATTAAGCGGTTTAAAAGATATTTGCGAATTAAACCACCAAAACGTCGATTGTGTTTTGCAAACGTAATCTGTAGAAGCAGGATAGCCGATAGTACAATATTCTGGAGTTAAATGGAGATAAAAGTGTTTAACTAAAAGATGTAAGGGTGGCTTAGGCTTACTTTCGATGTTCAGGATGTTATGCTTTAACTAGAATCTTCAATCAACAATTTTACATACCCGAGGTGGAAATAAACAATTGGAAAAAAGTAGATTTTATATTTGGTTGTGTAGTTGGTTGCATACAGTCTGGTAAATTTGAGTGTACAGTTGGTTGTAGTTAGGTTCAAACATCATGAAAATGTCGTCAATATTAAGTAGTAGTACTATGCTTTCCGATAACAAGTACTACAGTCCAAATTTGAACCTATTGTACTTTATAAAATCCTAAAAACTATAAAGTAACAATGTTCACCATGATCAGAAATCACCTTCCTCAATTTACTGACCCAACCTATTTCCGCTTACCCATTTCCGTAGCATTCATCTTTGGATCAAAAAGCTACATGAATTTGAAGTCGATAGCTCATTTTATTTAGAAGTAAAAGGGTACAAAGTTTCATGCACCTTAATTATAAATAAATCTAAAGGAAGCGAAAAACAGTCACAAAGAAACCAATTCATTAGTATTATATTGTTTAACTTCATGACATCCCCTTTGACAAGGAACAGGGGAGATCTGATAGAAATTAGGAACGATGCGAACGAGCAACAAAATAGATGTCCTTTGGTGTAATGATTTAATTTATTGCAAACTCCACATTCCTAAGTCAATCGAAATGTATTTATTTTTTGTTTTCTTCTTTTAAAAAAATTATAAAACTGGCAGCCTCAAAATGTTCTCTATTGATTAACTTTCAGAGTGACACAAGTCAACCAAGTAAACTTTTCATGTTTGGTTACCTAAAAATTTTAATATTACTCTTTGCCCAAAAGACTCACAAATGCTGTCAACAATACTTCTGATAGAATATGCAAGGGAAAAATCATCATGAGACACAATTTTTGAGCTCTTTAACGATTTCGGTATTCAAAATATTCAAAAATTCTAAACTTAGGGAGAGGATTCGCCTTAATGTTCTTCTGTATTATTAAATTTTCATTTGATTCTGCCAACCATCTTCAGTTACGATCCATATACGAGGGTGGATTGATAAGTTTCCGGCCTGACCAAGAAAAACAAGGTTTTTAAAAATTTTTTTTTTTTATTTCTCAACATAATCTCCTCCAAGGCTGATACATTTCTCATAGCGGTGTTCCAGTCTATTAATGCCATCTCTATAGACTGATTCGTCAAGCTCCTCAAAATAACCATTTACAGCTTCGATTACTTCTTCATTGTCCGCAAATCTCTTACCGCCAAGCCATTTTTTGAGATTAGGGAACAGAAAATAGTCACTCGGGGCTAGGTCTGGAGAGTAAGGAGGGTGCGGCATCAATTCAAACTTTAGATCGTTGATTTTAGCCGTCGCAACGATTGACGTGTGCGCTGGTGCGTTATCGTGATGAAACAAGATTTTTTTCTTCGCCAGATGAGGTCGTTTAATTTTCACCTCGTGGCTCAAACGTTGCAATAAGTCTGCGTAGTATTGACCAGTGATAGTATTACCCTTTGCAAGGTAATCAATGTATATAATACCTCTTGCATCCCAAAAAACAGTAGCCATAACCTTGTTCGCCGAAAAAATTGTTTTTGCCTTCTTTGGAGTTGGTTCCCCTGGTCCAATCCACTGTTTAGACTGTTCTTTGGTTTCAGGAGTGTAGTGGTGGACCCACGTTTCGTCAACGGTTACGAATCGACGCAAAAATTCGCTTGGATTACGCTTATACAATGACAAATTTGCGGTAGAAATGTTTTTTCGAATCAATTTTTGGTCGACTGTTAGCAAACGCGGCACCCATCTTGCACAGAGCTTTTCCATATGCAAATGTTGGTGCAAAATATGTTGCACACGTTCATATGACATCTTACAGGTCTCAGCTATCTCACGCACTTTCAATCTGCGGTCTCCCAGCACTATTTGATGAATTTTTTCGATCATATCTGGAGTTGTGACCTCAACGGGGCGTCCTGAGCGAGGCCCATCAGAGGTGCTCACACGACCCTTTTTAAACTCGGAAACCCACTGCTTAACGGTTGAATATGACGGGGAGGATGTCCCCAGTGTTGAGTCCATCTCTTTTTTAATTTCCTTCGGCGTTAACCCCTTCAAATAAAAGTATTTGATGACAGCACGATTTTCCTGCTTTTCCATTTTTACGAAAACCACAGAGGCGTCTTGTTCAGCGTGCTGTCAAACCTACACTAGCAAGGAGATCGGGCTGAAACTATAGCTACAAGCTATCCAAGGATGGTACTATAGAATGTCACCTCAAGGTAGGCCTAGTGGCGTCATCTCTTGGTTAGGCCGGAAACTTATCAATCCACCCTCGTAATTTGAGGTACTCCATAAAAGTTTTAAGATCTCATTAAGTTTAATATCGTTCTGACATTTGAACAACACTTATAATGGTATATACAAACAGTTAAGACTGCAAGAAGGCGATTATTTCTTAAGAAATTACAACAAGTTATTGCCATCGATGCTAAAGAAGTCGATTACGTCCACATTAGAACAACTACGTACAAGCTTGCAGATATTGATAGCGTAAATAATCGAACTATTCAAGCAAACCGCTGAAAACTAAGAACCGCCACAAATACGTTCTTACATGTTCGACGAAAGAACATGTTAACTTACTCAATTGTGAAAGAAACACAACAAAAGACTACAAACAGAAAAGGGTTCCATTAACACTGGAAAATGGAATTAACAATTACTGTTTCGAAATCCTTTATGTCATTTATTTAATTTAACTATTGCATCAATCGCATAATTTTTACGAAACAATATTTCTATGGTTTAAATAATTTTGATTTTAAATTCGAAACTATTATTTCCGTTGACAAAATATACACAGCTCTGCCCTAGGAAACACTAGGAATGCATTTATTTTACGAGAAAATATTAATATATACAGAAAAGGGTTGATCATGGGTATACGCCGCGCGGGGATTGCCGCTCCACGCGCCGTGTAAAAGCCATGTTACATCAATCAAAGAAACCGCGAGTCTTCGCCTGTCTGCTCCAGGACGCGCCGAACCCGTTGCGTAGAGTGTGTATTAGTAATTTCCATACCGTGTAAGGAATTCAGCATGGGAACACGCCGCGTGAGGATTGCTGCTCCATGCGCCGTGTAAAGATCAGGTTACACAACGCGTGGGGCGTGGATCGACATTAAACGCGCCTGCCACCGTCGCAAAAAGAAATCAAAGAAACCGCTAAGACGCTCCTTTCAGCTCCAGACCGCGCCAAACTCGTTACACGTAAAGGACATCTTACACAGCGTGTGGAGCGTCCATCGGCATTACACGCGCCTATCACCATCGCAAAAGGGAATCAGAGAAACCGTTAAGACGCGCCTGTTCGCTCCAGGCGGCGCCGAACCCGTTGCGTAGAATGTGGATTAGCAATCTTCGTGCCGAATAAAGAATTCAGCATGGGCATAGACCGCGTGAAAGTTGCCGCTCCACGCGCCGTGTAAAGGCCACGTTATACAACGCGTGGGGCTAAGTCGGCATTACACGCGCACACCACCGTCACAGAAAGAAATCGCAAAGACGCACTGTCCGCTCCAGACCGTGCCGAACCTGTTACATGGGGTGTGGATTGGCAATCTCCGTGTCGTGTAAAGGTTTCAGCATGGGCACACACCACGCGAGGTATTCAGCTCCACACGCATTTTTACACGACGCGTAGGGCGTATATCGAGAATACACGCAGCTGTCACTTGCATGAAAGGAAGTCAAAGAAACCTCTTAGATGCTCCTTTCCGCTCCAGACCGCGCTAAACCTGTTATACGTGGTGTGGATTGGCAATCTCCGTGCCGTGTAAAGGGGCATACGCAGCCCGAAGATTGCCGCTCACGCGCCATGTAAAGGACATGTTACACAGCGCGTGGAGCGTGGATCGGCATTACACGCGCCCGCCATCGTCGTAATAAGAAACCAAAGAAATAGCTAAGATACGCCTGTCCGCTCCAGACCGCGTCGAATCAGTTACACGGGGTGTGGATTGGCAATTTCCGTGCCGTCTAAAGGTTTCAGAATGGTCACACGCCACGCGAGGTATGCCGCTCCACGCGCCGTGTAAAGGTCATGTTACACAACGCGTGGGGCGTAAGTCGGCATTACTAGCGCCTGTCACGGTCATGAAAAGAAATCAAAGAAACCGCTAAGACGCGCTGTCCGTCCAGGCCGTGCCGAACCCGTTACGAGTGTGAATTTTCAATCTTCGTACCGAGTAAAGGGCTCAGCATGGGCACACACCGCGCGATGATTGCCGCTCCACGCGCCGTGTAAAAGACAAGTTATACAGCGCGTGCAGCGTGGATCAGCACTACACGCGTCCGCGAACATTTCGCTTGCCAGCATTTTTCAATGCATGATAATAAGTCAGTTAATATTGAATAAATAAAATAGAAGAAATAACTTTGCATTTTAGGACATATCCAAGTTGTTGCTTTACCATCGCTATCCGAAGCGAGAAGTACCTTTAGGGGAATGACTGGGATAATAAGTGGCTGGGGAAGGGCATCAGATGAAAATAAGAAAATCAGTAATGTGCTTCGACTGGTCGAAACGGACGTCATTAGTAATCACTGGTGTAACGTTCAATATTTGGGTATTATCAAATCCACCCAGATTTGTACATCAGGAGATTTAGGGAAGAACACTTGCAACGGAGATTCAGGAGGACCTTTAGTAGTTAATAATCGACAGGTAAAGTCCACATTTTTAGTACTATTTTCAAGATTCAATTCAAAACAGTTAAAGAAAACCTTATTTCGCATTTCAGTTATTTTTATTGTTCGAAATGACAAGGAATTTATCTCATTTTATCGATGTTAGTAAAACATTTCAGTATTTCCGCCCTAGAAGTAAATCATAGAATCTGTCTCCAATCTTTCTAATTTCACATTATACTTTCATATTCTTCCTTTAACATTAATTGAGTCTTTTGTTACATTAAGCATTCCGGAATTACAAGTAACTTACAATATAAGAATTATTCTTCAGTTAATTGTAAACTTTTGTTATTATCTTAACTACGGCTGCAAAAGCCTTAAAAATATCAAGAGGCAGATTATGAGAAAACAGTAATATCGATTATTATTTATGTTTCAGGTTGGTATAGTATCATTCGGAGTGGCATTTGGATGCCAAGTAGGTTGGCCAGCAGTGTTTACTAGAGTTGGAAATTATTTAGTTTGGATATCCAAATCGACTGGAATTTCTATCAGAATTTAGCAACCTTAAATTGATTTTGACTCAAATTTATTTAAATGTAAATATCATAAATAACACTTTCGTATTGAAATAATAAATGCGACAAAATATATGTGTGTTTCTAGTTGTACTGATTTGATATTTAAACACCTTCTCGCACTATTACTACTTTTATTTAACTATTTGCTGTCTAATTAACACTTCTATTATTAATTAGTTATCAATTCACCACTATATGAACACTTTGTCACTTCTTTACTCCTACTACATTACTTTGTATCGCCTCGAACTCCTTCTCGTACTAGTACTATTGCTACTACTACGGAACAACTACTTATAGAGGCTGGCAGTGTTCTAGAATGACCCAGTATATGTCATCTAGAAACCAGGTCTTCTTTGTCACTATGTATGGTGGGTTGCCTACATACATGTGACAATATTATTGGGGTGCAGACTGTAATTACTGTATGTATACTTCGTTTAGTTTCTGTAGCGATTTGACCTTCAGTTTGACAAAGTAGAAAAGAACAGCACTAAGCCAGAAAAGAAGGGAGACAACTCTCGGCCAAACTCTTAACCGGTGAGGAGCGTATAATCCGTACAATACTGCACGGAAAAATTGGCCATTTTATCCACTACAATTGCATTGCTCGAATGTGCTGTTATTGGTACCATTTACTACTAAAAATATCAACGAGATGTTTATTTATATTTGAAGACATATTAAAGGCTTTAACGCTTGTATTCGACTCGCACTATTATTTATGATTGAACAGAACTTTTGGCAGGTACTGTATGAAAAAGTAAGTTCAATGAACAAGAGTCGAGAGTATAATGAGCTTTTTCTCCCTACCTACGATTTTGCCAGCGCACATCCAAGACATTAGAAGGGGCACATTGCTAGAGAAAGTAAATGAAGTATACTTTGTAGAAACATTGTCTGTATACTTCATCTTAGTGCACCTCCACTTCTCCCTATCTTGAACTAATATCAGACCATTCGCGAACGGTAATCTATTCCAAACCTACTTCAACCCTCCTTAACTCCAGTTTTTTCTTCTAATATGTCTCTAACTAACCTTTCATGCTATGAAAAGGTAACTGCTACTAAAACTGATTTCAAATGGTTAGAAATATGCCCCTTCCCTTTAACTGGTTTCCAAATTGAATCATATTTTATATCGTCTTGCTCGAATCTAAAGTGTATTCTTTCTATTCGCGCAGCTTTCGTCAAAATCGCATCTCTAACCGTTTGAAACGAGTTGTGTAGTAGTTCAATTGTATTTTCAATAAACTGAATTTTTGTATAGATCACTTAATTTTACGACATATTTTGTTATTCATGTAGGCAGAATTCGGTAGGTACTTCGAAGCTAGTGCTTCCATATCGTGCATTAACCGAAACGATTTGAATTACAACATTTCAGAGTAGAATAATGGTTCCGAATACAAAGTGCAATAATAATTCCCATGCACCGTTTCTAACGGGAAATCGAAATAAAATTGAATAATGTATGTATTTCTATCGTAATAAACAGTTGGTAGCCCTTTCGAAACGTTCTAGAAACCGATAAATAATCCCTTTAAAAAGCTATGCAGACGTGCTTTTTGTTTCAAAATGGGTAAATCCATTATACGGTTTTCATCACTTCGAAATCCTTCTTTTTCGAAGGTGTGATTGCAATATTAAAAAACTGCTCATGAAAACAAGTTGCTTTTTAAACTCTTTAGATAGAACGTTTGTTAATACATAGTAATAAATTATCTCGCTTTTCCGACCAATTTTCGGGTTTTGAGCTTTGACATTTTAAAAAGATAAATTAGTAAGTAGATAACTTTCTCCTTCAAATTGTTTTTGAAATTAGAAATCATATTATCGTTGTTAATCTTTATAAACTAAACCATAGCAGTATGAAATTAAATCTTATTGATACATTAATCTGAATTAACTTCTACCAACTACAGATAACCTCAAATTAATAAAAATTAGCTGCTGTCGTCCTCGCTGGGAATCGAATACAAGTCCCTGGCTTTACACACCAATGCTTTGACCAATTTTTACACATTAATTTGAAATTATCTATAGTTGGTAGAATTAGTTAATGTTTTAAAAATTAACCCCTATAAAAAAGAAAAAATCTTCCAGTTCCAAAATCTTCAAAAAAAAATTGAGAAACTTTTAAACATTACGAATATTATAAAATGTAGTTTTAGGAGTTTTGTTAGTAGTATTGTACATATTATATGCAGTGGTTGAACCGTCCAAATTTGGACCGATGAGTACCGTTGCCAATTGTGCACTGAAACTTTAATCATGGCGATACCCCACGCCATAACATAACCTAAACCCTTGATGTACTTATCCCTGGCAAACATAGGTAGGTACAGTTTAATACAGTCGTAGAATAAACTTAATAAAAGCGGCTGAAAGATGCATCATTAGGTACTACATAATCATGAATTTAGTATAAAATTTTAAAGCTTCAATTAGTAATTAAAGGTAGGGGTTAAAAAGGTAAAGACATCATAATTTTATTGTCTTAGTAACTCATTTAATTAAAATGTTCCATCTAAAGCCAACAGCTAAATCCATCTCATAGTTTTAAAAGTTCTTTACATAGGTATCATATTTTCATTAAGCTGATGAAATCTCTTAGATCCAAAAAACTTCTTGACACGCAAAATATTGAATAAAAAGTACCCAAATTAGGGTAAATCGCAATTCTCTCCACACCTTAACAAAGTTGAATAATTTTGTAAACTGCGGCTGTACGAGGTCTAATCCCTTTGCTCCGCCCCTGACCTACTTACAATAACAAATTTGCAAATAGTTGGCATTTATTTTTCAACATAGTGTCCCATCGATGTTCTAGCATTGCTAACGCCTCCCAGAAGAAAGATCCTTCAGTATCTCAAAACCACAATTTGCCTCATATATCACCAAATTATCGAAAATCCTTTACCGCGCAAGGATTTCTTTAAGTTTTGCGAAGTGTCGGTAGTCGCTAGGAGCCACATCTGGCGAACATGGCGGATGGAAGGCCGTCTTAGCTATTGTAGCTTTTGCAATAACGAGCATATGATTGGGTGCAAGAGAACGACCATGCGCAACTTCCCTGACGTTTTTCTTGTATTAATTGCCATAATAAGCGCCTGTAATTGTGACCCCCTTCTGCAGGAAATCTAATACCAAAATTACACCTTCAGAATCCTAAAACATTCTGCGACATTATTAGTGTATTCTTTTCAGCCAAGATTCTAGTACAAGCAACGATGTATGAGCAGGGGTGTTATCACGATGCAACGGCCAATTTTTGTTCATCCACCAATCCAGGCGTTTCTGGCGGATTGCTTCTCGCAAATTGTGCATAACTTGCAGGTAATATTCCTTATTGACCGTATTGCCCTGCTACAAGAACTCATGATGCACCACGTCCCTGCAATCCATGAAAACTGTAAGCAAAACTTTCAGATTCGACCTAACTTTTTTCGGTCTTCGCTCGTGCGACAGCTTCTATTGGGATGATTGAGCTTTGGTTTCCACGTCATAACCATAAAGTCATGATTCTCCACCAATTATGACCTTTTGGAGCAAATTTGGCCAGTCGCAGACAGGATTCAGCAGCTCTTTAGAAATGTTAATGCGATGCAGTGTTTTTGGTCGAAATTGAGCAGTTTTGATACGAATTTCGCCGCGACCCATCTCATGCCTAAATCATTGGTAAAAATCGGATGGCAGGAATCAATCGATATGTTTAGGAACTCAGCAACTTCTCTAATGGTGGTTCGACGATTGGTCAAATATTTTCTTTACTTCATCAATGTTTTCGTCTGTTGTTGACGTGCTCGGGCGTCCGACACGTTCTTCATCTTTCACATCTTCTCGACCATCTCAGAAAGTTTTGTACCACCGATAAACGTTGCTTCGTACCAAGGTAGCTTCACCATATGCCACAATGAACATTCGGAATGGGTCCGAGCACTTACTTTTATTTTTCACATAAAATTTGATACAGATCCTTCGATCCATTTTTTGGAATAGGCAAAAATTGAAGACGAGCGAAAACACGTCCATGCAAAGAAGCTGTTAAAAATTAACTGAACATTCAACATGGCTGAACTTGTTGATGTAAATGAGAGACATGAGTACCAACATAACACGAAATTCGCGATACTTTTTGAACATACCTCGTACATACAATCCGTACAGCGAAAACGGCTCTCTTAATTGCTATAGCTCTAATTGAATGCGCCCGATTTTCTAAAATGTCTTTGACATACGCATATCGATTAAAATTTGTCAGTGACTGATCCTTTAATCCAAAATTGGTTGAGAAGTCGCGAGGTTTGTTTGCTTGTTTGTTTTGGAAATTTCAAAAGACATTTCGTTTTCGTAATTTAATCGGAGATCGTTTCCCCAGTAAAATTTAAATTAGGCAAACTCTGATAAGTAATTAGGCCGTTCTTGGGTTTCTAATGACTGAATAAACGGAACAAATAAGGGAGAGTTAAAAGCAAAGTTAATGGAAACTGAAGTACCTACGTGTACATGCGAACGGATTGCAAACGTTTTCGTTTAATCGGTCAATAATAATACGTCTACGTTCCTATCCGAACATAATTAAGCCAGTTGTTCAGTGCCTATTGCAAAGTAATAATTAACAAAAGTTTTGTCTATTTGATCAATACAATAAGCATGTTTGTCATTAATAATGAGTAAAATTGCTTTGAGTCTTGCAGTCTCGGTCATGCGAAAATGCAAGATCAAGATTAAGACCAAGACTGTCTTTATACTACGAAGATTAAAACTAAGATCAAATGAACAAGACCAAGACTGAAACCAGCATCAAGTATGCAAGACCAACACGAAATACGTAAGATTAAATAAATAATTATTATTACTTAAGGTCAAGATGTTAAATATACTTAAAAATGTAGGGATGAATAAAATAATTCGAAGTGGTCTGTATTTTGTCTAAACTGTCAGACGCGGATCGCGATTTCGATCTTTTTGGATCAACTTTTACCTGCTGTCTTAACAGTGCGTTTTAGAAAATACCACAAATGGCGCGATAAACGACATGCTACATTTTAGGATTACGTATGCTCCAACAAGGTCCACTTGTGTGGATATCTACTTGCTAAAACGAATCCCGGCGTAGCTAACCTCAACGTGATAGGCACGTTACCATAATCAAATAAAATAATTCGAAGTGGTCTGTATTTTGTCCAAACTGCCAGACGCGGATCGCGATTTCGATCTTCTTGGATCTCATCAGCGCGTTGTAGTCAGCTCCGACAGAACACAGACCAACTTTTACCTGCTGTCTTAACAGTACGTTTTAGAAAATACCACAAATGGCGCGGTAAACGCCATCTGTAGTACGATGCTACATTTTAGGTTTACGTGTGCTCCAACAAGGTCCACTTGTGTTGATATCTACTTACTAAAACGTAGGGATAAGTTACAGAGATAGAAAAGTGATACTTGGTTTGTATAAAGAGCAACAGGCAGTTATAGAGCTGAAGTTGCAACGTAAGGAAGTAAATATTAGGAAGCGAGTCAGACAGGGATGCACACTTTCACTGCTCCTTCTTAATCCATACATCGAAGACGCGATCAACATCATTAAAGACAGTACAACTGTAGAGATAGATGTACAGGGGCAAAAGATTGATATGCTTAGATTTGCAGATGATACAGCAGTATTACCATCTAGCAAGCAGGAGTTAGAGATACCTTTAAATAAAATGGAAGCGGTATTGACAAAACAGTATTGTATGAAAATAAATAAAAGTAAAACAAAAATACTGGCATGCAAGGAAAGAAAAAGTAGGGAAAAGCGAAAATAAAGATAGGAGACGAAAGATCAGAAGAAGTGGCCAACTTTAGGTATCTATAGGTAGTCAGATCTAGCAGATTCATGACGGAAAAGAAGATACTTTTAGTTGCCAGATCGTATACTAAAGTAGCGCCTAGTTTTTTTGTCTATTGTTATTAGAACCGAGTACGTGTGAGCGAAGAGGGATGAAAAATCAATTTGGCCAGTACGTATAAAATTAAATAAAACTATCTAAGTGTTAAAACTGTTTAAAATTTGTTCTGTGAGCTAAACTCCTAACAAATAGTGAAGAAAGTTTGTGTTACACGCTGAGAGTTTCTTTCGTCTACGATCTTGGAATACAAATTACCTTTTAGTTTTTAGAGCACTCCATCGGCTTAAATTATTTTAGATTTTTCCCTACAAACGCAATCATAATAGATAAATTCTAAAATATAATGTCAATGGTTTTAATTAATAATCCAATATTCTCTACATAAAAAGCCAATGCGGGGGATCGACAGGGGCTGTTCATAAACCATATGGAAAACGGATCTGTAAGGGTACAGAAATCTAGTAAAAGGTCATTCCGAACATTTGGGGAGGGGGGTGGGGTTGACACATGAGCAACGTAATTTATTATTTTACTGTTAAAAATGAAGTGTTTGGTATTTTTGGCGCCAGTTATCGAATGTCTCGAAGAAAAAGATGCAGAAATGGACTGATGTGTATTACCTACATCAAAAGCGATTGCGATGGACCGACAGACAAACTGATAAATAATGATGATGTATAAGATTATAAGAAGGTAGAAAATCCTCTTATTCACTTTATTAATGATAATAAATGTACCGTATTTATGATTGTAATTTTTGGGGTCTTCCCAGTCCTCATTAGTGATTCATGACGGTACAAAACGTGGGTGTGAAGGGTATCAACAGAGCTTTTACACAATGTTGTGAATACAATGTTTTATTCATAAAAACATGGAGCAAATTTGCTAGCTCGAATAATAATCTGATGTTATGGATTTCGTATACATATTTCTTAGTAGTACAGCGTACTTTAGTTTCATCATTAATAAACTTCAACTCATTAAAAGTAGTAATAGGTATCTTCTATATGAAGCTTGGGCTTTTGATTTATATGGCATTTTTAACACCTTTCGGTTTCAACACGTAAAAATGTATGAACTTTATAAGTACTCTTTATACGGTAGGTGCTTTTAGGTTGTCGTATATTTTACATTATTAATGAGCAAAATTAACTCAGACAAAAATTATATTGTCAATATATTACGCGAATTTAAGAAATGGAAGAGAAGAATCTCATGGATGATACACAAAGAAAAGGGGGAAGAACACTGGATGCATTATACATAGAAAAAAGCCATTGAGGAAGAAATAAAGAAAGAATAAGGAGAAATCTTCCTACTCTTTGCTGATATGAAGGAAGTCCTTGACAGGATAAACAGAAAGAATATATGGAGTATAATGGAAGAAAAAGGAATAAATATGAAATTAAGGAATAGGATAGAAGAAATATATGAAGCAATAACATCATTTAAAGTGAGAATCAATGAAAAAAACTCAGAAAAAATTATCACGAGTAACGGGATGGGACAACGATGTCCCTTGAGTACAGAGGTAGTCATGGAAAAGAAGAAAGTATGGACAGTATCTAGAAAAGAGAAGAAAGAAGAACACAATATTTACTTTTACCAGTGGGCTGACTCAATAATGTTTTTTAATGTTTAGGATAAACAGGATGTTCTTGACTTAAAAATAAATTAAATGCAATTATACAAAATAACATAGAAAGTGCTTGAACCCTTCAAAGATATACGTGAAGCCCTTTTGGTTTAATTTAAGCACTTGTATGCCTAAAGCCTTTTCTCAAATGCCTAGAGTTTTGAATTGAATTAGTTTTTGATATCAAAATGTAATTTATTAAGGCTTAGAAGTTACGGCTCATTTTTTAGGAAGGTTGTGCCTAACACGCTGCAACGATTTGGTATCCTACTGCAGAAAGCGAATAGAAACTGTTCAACATAAATTCTTTAGAATTTTAGCACCACGGCTAGGTTTACCTGATCCGTTTTTAAATCACGAATATACTATCACATCAGTCGCATCACGTATTCCGTCTCTTGTCTCTCTTAGAGTTTCTTCTGATATAAAATTTTTGTACAAATTGTTAAACGGTATTATACGAGGGTGGATTGATAAGTTTCCGGCCTAACCAAGAGATGACGCCACTAGGCCTACCTTGAGGTGACATTCTATAGTACCATCCTTGGATAGCT